CATGGTGTGTCCCAGTGGAAATAGTGCTTTTGGACTCCATGTGCTTGTGCATATGGTTACTGGTCAGGGTCAGTAATGCCTGCCACGTTTGTGCTTAATTAATACTGTTCAAAATGTATAACTAAAGTAATAGTAACTAAATCACAGTTCTTCAGATCTTCTGAGTTTCCAGTACTTAGCAGAATATGTACAGTTAAGGTCTGAGCAAGTAGTCCCTGTATTGTCTGTAGTCACAAACCTGGTTATTGCTGACGTGTGTTTTTCTTTCATTCTGAGTATTTCTCCTAGGTATTCTTAGCAGTAACTTTGTAATAACGCGTTTTCTCCTGATTGCTTTCTCCTTCATCAGAGTTAGAATTGTTTTTGACTGCAGTCAAATACTTTGAAGCACAGGCTTTTTAGTACCTTGGTGAGAAGTGCTGTCGGTACTGTAGATAACTTTTACTTCTTCCATATTACGTATTTTCAAATATTGTCTTTTTAATGAATTAACATCATTATCTGCTCTTTAATTTCCTTTGTTCTAAAGATAATGTAAAACAGTGAGAAGTGAAGCATCAGTCTTTCATATTTTTTGTAGGTGTTTCAGAGCTCTTTGCCTTCTGTTATAAGTATGAATAGAAGATAACATTTGAAAAGCCTAATGCCATAATTAAATGAATTCTAGCAGGTCTGCTGAAGAATTGTGTAAACGGACATTGGTACAGTGCTTACTGTATGTAGGTGTGAGCAACTTAAACTACAATTCTGGGAAGTATTACAGAGTGTAGGAGAACTGCATGATTTGTGGGCTTTCTGTTAACATTCAGTTATCATTTCTCATACTGTACAAAGGCTGCTATGTTTATAATGCTTTCTGAAAAGTTTATCAGTTATCTCTTCATTTTTATCACTGTGAGGGTGTGTTTAACTATTGTAACTTAATACAAGATAGGCAAAATAAATTAACAGTGTTGTACATAGTGCTTGATTTTTTTTGGCTAGTTATTATTTACAAATAATATACAAATGTTTCATATTGTTTGTTTGTAAGCATCTGTTCCATAGAAATTCTAATCATGTGGATGCCGATTTAATTCTGTATTATAACTTATTTTTAAGTAAGTGGCTTGAATGTTCCAGTGGTTTTGAAGAGTATATAAGTATATAAATATATAAGCAGATTTAGTATTTGCTTTGCATAGTAATTCCAATTGATAGGGCAAAATTCAGGGAGAGGGCCTGGGATTCCAGAGTGAACTTGTACATTCCTTCAGGGCATTTTTGCAAGGGAGGTTGTTGTGTTTTAAAGGTAGTTGATAAGAGACCTGCACCACCAACCCCAGACCTGCACCACCAACCACCATCACGCATTAGTCTATAGAAGGTATTTGGGTGAACCTACTCCTGTACCACTCCGTACCACCATTTATCCAAGTGAAATTTTTGACCATTTGCAGGATACGTTATAAATCAGGATGTCACTACCAGACAATCAGATTTGAACATTCCTTGCATAAAGTAGCTTGCCTATATCCCTTAGGAATACATCACTTAGCTGTGTTTATGTGACAGTGTGGATATGCCTGGTTTTACATGAACGTTAGGGTAGCGTGTTATTTACGTCATCATGAATTCAAAAAGTAGGTGGTAGTGCTTTATGAATACTGTGGTTATCTTCTCTGGACAAATCGCTAGGAATAATTGAAAGATATAGTTTTATCATACAACCATTAATTAAATTAGGAAATGGGATTTTTTTTTTACTTCAGATTAGGACTTTGCTATTACCTCAGTTTTTTTCAGTGTTCCCTTCTCTGAGGTGCTGACAACAGATTAACATGAAACAGAGCTCTGTTGAATCCAATTATGTTACAGCTCATTGTTTTGGGGACCTATAAAAATGTTCGCTCCCTTTTTACGGGGCTGTAGCCACAGCAAACAGCCGTAAACAGTGCATTTTCTCTTTCGTATGGGACTGGAAATTTCATTAGCTGACTCTTAATAAAGGCCTGATCCAGCTGAATTTACACCTGGGAATGAATGCTTCTTTATCAGGTCCCAATCCTTAGCAGATCAAGCAGGAAGGAACGACAGCAGGATAGCATTGGATCCGCTATCAGTGTCTGAAAGCTTAATTTCTTTTAAAGTTATTTGCTATTCAAATGTTGACTGAAGACATGCTTTCCTGTACGTTAGAGGAAAGATACTAAATATTGGGCATTATTCAAAACAAGACAAAACACAACACAACAAAGCAGAGGTCTTTCTGTACTTTCAAGCATGTCACTGAAAGCTGAGATTAGACTTCCACATCAGCTATGAGGATTATTATTATAATTTGTGTAAATGCTTGGAGTCTCTGGAGAGGACTAACGTTTAGCACATCTAGCCCTTAGAAATAATGTGGAAAATGATGCCCTACCTTTATTTAAGTGTATACTGCTGGAGAATTTAAAATGTATTCATTCTCGCTAAATAGGTTTCTGTGATGTAGGTGCTCCTCTGAGACTTGTTTGGGTTATTTTTCCTTTTCTCTTTTTTTGTTGTTGTTTGGATAATATACACATATATTAAAATTATGGGAATTTTCTAGCAATTTAGTTAGGAAATTACCTCTAAGATTTCAAACTGGTCTGTTTGGTCTTGTTGGTTGACTGGGTGTGTAGAGATTTAAACAATTTAGATTTGGGCCAATATTTTTCCAGTGTATCTATACTTATTTACAGTTTAGTAGTATTGTATTTTCCCTTCTGTCCATGCTCTAAGATGATGGATATGTTACAGTTGTCTAACAGGAATGCACTCTACTGTCTGTTTTTATGTGCTGGTGCTGATAACCTGCTTTCTACTCTGCTTTGCCGCAGGATGTGAGCGTGGGCAGTTTCGCTGTGGAAACGGTCGCTGTATCCCTGCAGATTGGAGGTGTGATGGGGCTAGAGACTGCTCAGATGATACAGATGAAGCTGGTTGTCGTAAGTGAAATAACTATAGAGCAACTTTTTAGTAATAGAAGATATACTGAGATCTCAACGTGCTCAACTGTACCTGTGGTAGAGGACTGAATATTAGATGGGGAGAAAAATCCTGGTTGTCCTGAGGTGACTGCAGGATCTGCTTAAGAGATGTATTTCTTGAATCCACTGGCTTTGGTAGTCAGAAAATCAGGTAGTGCTCAACTTCCAACATGATTTAGCCTTCTCCTAAAAATCTGAGTGTCCAATAATGCTATTTCATTTGATGACTAATGGGCTAGGTTCTAGGTAGATGTAGAAACGTATTGTATTCTGTTATTGCAGTGTTCCTGAATATTGGATGTACACAGAGCTACTGCCAGCATCACTTGAGCTCCACATCTTTGGATCTTTCAGATCTAGATAACAAGCTGTACCTACTGCACCTTAAGTAGAGTCTTGGTCAGTTGTCTAGAGTTGGTCGTGTTACCCTCATTCCCAGCAGCTCAGGGACAACAGTTGCGTTCAGATGGGCTGCAGCATCCATGCGTGAAGGTTCTCGCAAGCTGAATACTAAAAAGTTGTGAAAATGGAGAAATTACCTCTATACCCTTTTCAGGAACTCACCCGCATTTTACCTCTCTGTTTTAGTGTTCTTCGAGGTCTTGTGGGCTGGTGCAGTTGTCGGCCCACTTATGGGTTAGGCCAGTTTTTGTGCCTCAGCTGATGGGGAGTGAAAAAGACTGATTTGTGCTGGTTCTTTTCACACTGGATTGTTTCGTTGCCACTTGACTTACAATAATTGGAGATCATTCACACAGCTTGGCAGTCCGATTTGTTGCTTAGCACTTTAGTTGGCTCCAAAAAACAGTGCAGTTCTGGATGAAGACTACCTTGAACTAGTAAAACAAAATGGTGTTTCCCTATAGCTTGCTATTTCACCTTAGCTCTGAACAGCAACTGGAAAGAAGTGGTTGGGCTTTGAACAAGGACTGGGTAAAATTAACAGAAAGACCCCGACACTTACTACATTTGTCGTAGTTGTAAGCATGAAGTTGAGTTGTTCTTATGCAGTGCATTGTCTCTAGTATGTGACCAATTTTAACCCTCTAATTACTTCATCTCTAATGTAGTTTTGCACTTCTTAATGCAAAATCTACAAATTCTCAACTGAAAATCTACGAAGTGACACAATTTTTCCCTTTGGTGCTATGTTTACATTGATAGTTGTGCTTGCATATGATCCCATGAGCACAAAGTGTTTCTAATTGACTTCACAGTACAGCAAAAACATGTTCCTGAGAAAAAGATTGCTTGCACTGGAGTCCTGTCCACTGCACTGTGTGGTGCTACTGATTCTTCCCAGGAATATTAACTAGGGACGGAGCAAGTTGTAACACAGTTTCAAACATTTATTTTGATCTTTCTCTCTAATGGCTCTCAGTTGTTTGTCTATTTGGAAAGTACAGAGTGGAGCTGGGACATCATTGAGATTGTTTTTACCTGACCGTCGCTTTTGCCTCATGAATTCACTAAGAGTCATGAGCTTGTTTTGAAAAACTTTCTCCCTGCCAGGGATAGAGCACCTGAGGTGAAGTGAGAGTGACTGAACAGACCCCTGTGAGACTAGGAAAGCTAGCAGGACCCCATATGTAACTGGAAAGAAAAGGGCTTGCTGTGCCAGAGAGTTGTTCAGAGCCTTCAGCCTTTGCTGTGAGCAGCCTTCTAGAGGACACGGTCTCTTCACAGGGTACAAAACTGAAGATTCATGCGTAGGAGTTCACTAGACTGAATTATGCCTTTGAGCATCCTTCTGCTGGCCCACGTTTCCCTCCCTCCTCTATCCATTTTCTTTCATTTGGCAAATGCTCCATGTGTTCAGTGCAAGTTACAGTCAGTTGGCACTTGAACATGAAGTCTTTTCACTCATGTAGTTGTTTCCTTTGAAAGTGCTTTTGCAGATGTCTGTGAAATGACAAGGTTTTTTTCATTGCTTACACCAGCACAACCTACCTGTGAGGGAAATCAGTTTCAGTGTCAGACTGATGGTGAGTGTATCCCACAGTCATGGGTTTGTGATGATGAGGAAGACTGTGAAGATGGCTCAGATGAACACCAACAATGTCGTAAGTGTTTAATTAAGTTCTAATGTTATACCAGCTTTGTGAAATAAGGTAATTCACGTAGCAGCATATTGAGGACATACAGAAACAATCTTGCTGTAAGCATAGCTTTTTCCTATGAGTCTCCCTGCAGTAGTTTCTAGAAATTAAATAATCTGAAATCAGAAATAGATAAAATAAAGAAAATATGTCCAAAAAGTCATCTTCAGGTCCTGAAATCTAAAAATTACTGATGTTCCAGTTAATCAAAAAGAGAAAAAAAAGGAGAGAAATGTACAGTGCGTATTAGTCTTAGAGTTGATACAAGATTTAGTATTTCCAAAAATGGTGAAATATACATGGTACTCTGATGTCCAAACCCTGTCTCAATCACAGAAAATGCTGCTTCATTCATTGCATAAGAGAATTCACACTGGCATCTCATAATTAGAAATTTAAAAAATTAATTTATTTCTAGAAAATTTTGAAATGTATGTATATATATAAAAGGAGGAATTATCAGTCAATTGGAGTAAACATTGCTAAGGAGTCTCATCCCATCCTCGGTGATGCTATTTAATGGCATTATTATTTAAAATTACCAAAGCCATTCTTTCTCATGTTCAGATAAGAGGAATATCAAAAGTCCTGGTACGGGGTGTCCAGTCTTTCATTATCATCTTAAATTTAGGATGTAATTCCTATTAGTGTTTCACTCTAATATGCTAAACAGTGTATTAATCATGTTTGAATTGCTGTTTTAAACTAAAGTGTTTAATGTTCTCTGTATGTTTCAGAGCAAAGAAATAATTTAGCAGCCTAACTGCCATAGCCAAAGGCTTTTTCATTTTTCAGTGTTGGTAGCAAGGTAACTACTGATAATAAGATGTTGCTCTGATTTTCAAGTGTCGTGACTAAGCAGTTTAAGGGCTACATACAGTTAAGAATGTGGCCGAGTCGATGAACAGTGACCTGAGACGATTGCTGCACCAAATCACGTTCTCTGCGTTGTTGCACAAGGCAGGAAGAACAAGCATTGTAATGTTCTAAAGAACTGGTTTACTGCTACATCCAGTAGTAGAAGTTACTGTAAATGATGAGGATAAAGTTTATTTATTTTCATTTTGATTCTATGTATAGTTTTGGGATAATTTCTTTAAGCTGAACAGCTCTGAAGCTACTCTCTAACCACCTTGGTTCTGGGGAGGTTCACAGGTTTGGAAGGATTTTGCTCACAGACTTAGTTGTGCTTTTATATCTTGATACTTGCTCACACCGAGGATGGAAAATTTGGAACTGTGGTTAACTGCCTTTTTTATGCCCTCTTCCTCTGAGGCGGTGTCAGCACAACTGCTGGTTACGCTTTAACTAAGGAATTTGTAGATACAGAATGCAAAATGAGCAACAGCCCTGAGTTGACTTTTGAACTGGGTCTCTGTAACATCATTCTCCATGTACTGGTTAATCATGTTGTGGTTTTGAGCCATCTCCTGATATTTGTCCTTATTCTTCTGAAGGAACTTTTTATCTCTGTGTTAGGGAGTGCTGGAGGATATTTTCCTTCATGAAATACTATTTTTTTTTCCTGAGAAAAATGGCCAGCAGCTCTGGAATTGCATGTGCAGGATTAAACCAAGTTTATTTCATTTTACCGTCTTGCTCTTGTTTTTCCTCATGACACTAGTATCCCAGTACCTGATCTTAATTTGGGAACGCTGCTGACAGAAGAAAGAGTAGAGAGGCACTGTAAAGCAGAAGAGCAGGTGACAGTCCCATAGACTGGGATGGTGTTGAGATGTAACATGAGTTTGAAAGAAACAAACATGCAGGCGACAAAAGGGAAGAGAAGTTTGCAGTACTTTTGCCCTTCAGCTGTATCTTCGTGGATTCAATTAATTTGCTGCAGAAGATAGTGTAATTCAGCTGTAGTGAAGTCAAAGTGGAATTGCACAGGTTTATGTGGTTGCTTTTCACTGACGCGGCTGTCACAAGAAGAGACGTAGTCATTGTTGATCCTCTCTTAGTTATGAATGTAAAATATTCCTGACTTTCAAGGCCCTGGCTGTATTAGAAAGCAGTGCCTTACCTCCAGCTCTGCTGTGCTTACGTGGTGCCATTCTAGTTGACCAAACAACAGATTTTGACTCGGTAAACAAGATAACAGAGAAAACTTCAAAACAGTGAGACCTGGTGATTTAATCTTTTAGGCAAAGCAATTATAGGGCAGTAATTGTTATCCTGGAGGTCAACCCTTTCAGTGGAAAAAAGCAGTACCTTGCAGGCTACAGAAGGCCTCACAGAGCAGTGTTATCTGCCATGTGCTTGTCAAGTGTTCCTTAACCTATCTGAGTACACAGAGGTACAGAGGGAGAAGCTCTTATGCTAATGTTTGTGAAAAGGATGGAGTAGTTAAGAAAGAGGAGAAGGGATAATATTTTTCCGCACAAAAGTATCTTGGTTGATGGAAAAGACTGATTGAGTGCCTGTTTCTTGCAGCGGGAAGGACATGCTCAAGTCAGCAGTTCACATGTTCGAACGGACAGTGTATCCCGAACACGTACTGGTGCGATCGAGTGAAGGACTGCTCTGATGGAACGGATGAAAGAGTCTGCCGTGAGTCTTAACTCTTAGCGCTGGATCTGGTTTCATCTCATCTCTCTGTGGCATTTTAATAAATTTGTAAGATTGAAGGGCTTGTTGATGGACAGGATGACCACAATATGCTGCTTGTTACGAGAGTTGCATTTCAGATTCTTTTGTGTATTAGAGCTGATGCTCTGATACAGATCCAGTGTTGCAGAACTCAGATGCAGACTGCTACTGCAGGATCACGGCTTCTTGTTTGTCATTGTCTGAAGGATAATTAATACTGCATTGGAAAAAAGCAACTATGTTTAAATAGCTTAAAGCCTTTGGAGACTTAGAGATAACTTTGCCAATTTTTTGTCATATTCTTTTTGCAAACTCCATATGAAATCAGTGCTAACTATGACCTGTATTGAAAAGCAGAATTTGACCCCGAGTCACTTCTTTGAGGGACTTTGACTCTCAAGCGTTTCTCTTCTAGACTGCAGTTCCCTGTGGAGATGAAGCGTCATTGGGTCATACTGTATTCAGATAACCTGTTTCTGTTGTACCACCAAAGTGCAGATGGACAACTAGGTTTTTTCGGTCTAACTTCCCCAGAGTTGAGGCCGCCTGACTGTCTGGTGGTAGCCTCCTTAGTTCCTGGCCTAGGTTGAATACTGATGGAAAGGACAGCTGGCCACAGAACAGAGGTTACATTTTTAGGAGAGGTTTTTGCCTAATATCTACGTAATGGTGTGTAGCAGCATGTCTGTTCATTGTTGGTATTAGGGAAAAGCTTTACACGTGTCACGAGTGACATGTAATGTAAGAGCTGCTATTTCAGCTATTAGAACTCAGTGTACCTTTGGGAAAAAGGCGTAACTGTAAGCTTTGCTCAGAACAAGACCCAGGGTTGGGGTGGAGGCTAGGATGCTCAGGAGTGGGTAAAGCAGTAAGAAATAATGTTAATGGCTGTGCTTAGAGGAGAAAAGGTCACGTGCACCTGCTGCGTAAAGCAAGTCGGCATATCAGCCAGGTGCGAGTGCGTTTTCTCCTTGACTCACTCGTGGCTAGAATAGACACTCTGTAGAATGAAAGGTGACAGGACTTTATGGAACTCGGAAATAAAAGGTTGCTTAGACAGCCAGCTGGGAACTTTTCCATGTGATAGACCCACAGCCAGTTCTGAAGTCACTAACACAAATGGCTAAAGGACAAGATCCGAAGTACCCTACATCATTGCTGGAAGACCATCTTCCGTAGCTTGGGATTTTTTCTCTTAAAGTTTAGAGGAAGAAAAGAGGTTGGTAACTTAATGTAGCAAATCTATGACATTAAAAAAATCCTGAAGAAAATTTAAAAAATGCATTATCTCTGAATTAAAGAAGAGGAACTGCTCGGCGCCTCTGAGAAATCCATGAGTAGTCATTGAATACGGTTCAGACCAGCCAGGTGAAATGATTTGATTGTTACGATGCACTAACACTGTGGCAGACTGGGAGTGGAGTCCTGAAGACAATACTCACGATTCTTTCTTCAGACTAGAAGCCCACCGTGGTGCTTGAAAATGGAAGCGCACACTTTATTTCATGTTTAATATTCTCCACTAAGTAAATTAATAAGGCAGTTTGGAAAGGGGCCTCTGGGTACCCTGACAGCAGCGCTCTACTGCTGCGTGGGAAACCCAGTCGTTGCTGCATCAGCCATCGGTCCCATGTGGCCCTGGTGTGAAGGCAGCATATTTAGGCCCAGGGAGAGGGCCTGCCTCATATCATTCAACAGCCTCTACTCTGGTTTATTAGGATATGTGTTGACAGTCCCTCTAAGACAGAAGAATGACTGTGACTTAGAACATTGAAAGTGGGAGTTAGACTACTCTAAAGAAATGTGATGGTGCTGAAGACAAGAAAATAAAGAAGAATGAAATGGCAAAACCCTTCCCGAAAGACTGGTTATTTTTATTGCCTTTCTGGCTTTGCAAGGCCTGGAACTTTAAACAGGAGCTGTAAGATAAAATTAATAATCTGTTGATTTTATGATTAACTGCAAAGTAGGGATTAGTGTGTCAGATTTTACTGTTTTGAAGCAGATTCTAGTACTTGCGGTGAATGTCAGATTTTCTGTTTCATCCATTTCCTTTTCCACATTATCTGGTGTAAACAAATACAAGAGGAATAGCACTATTTTGTGCTTTTCCTTTGTCATAAATAAAAATGAAACATCCATGAACAATGGAAGAAAAGAGCTATGTAGAATTGATTCTGTTGTTTCACAGAGCATAACGAAATAGAAACTTGTCCGTTTACCTCTGCTTTGCACTCCCTGATCTGTCTTGAAGCAGATTTAGATTGTAAAGAAGATAAAGTTTTGTTGCTGAATAAGTTACATTATTTAAGAAACTAGTCAAATGCAAAATGTCACTAATATGAAGTAACTCAGCAATTAAACGTGTAAAAAAAATAGAACAAAGGAATTCAAAGCCTTAGTCCATTTTACTGCTAATGGGATTAACAGCAAGGGAAAACTACCCATGCAGGGGCTAAGATAAACATCAGAACAATGTTTCAGCTACAGGTCATGTAATTAGTGCGTTGAAGCTGTTTAAATTTCATAAAACAGTGTTTTAAAAAAATTCCTTTATATATCTTTATCATCTATATCTATATTTATATCTCAGGTTGTTTTTCCCGTCAGCAGCAAGAAAATACTTTCGTTTTAAAACTAGAAATGTAGAATGAAATGGCAGACAATTTGGGGTAGCAAATACTTTTTGGGAGTAAGCAGCCAATACTGTAATTTTTCTGTTAAATACTTTATTTCTTTCATTAAAGGTGGAATTTTCTGTCCTGCCTCAGCTTCGTAGTTGAAAAATGAAAATCCCAGCCGTGTCCATTTTGCTTTGCTGCAGCTGACAGAATAACTGCCCTGGTTACAGTTCTGGTAGCTGAGCACTGCACTGGGGCCAGAAGGGAGAAAGGAGAGGTATTTTAAAGATGTTTTTTGAAGCTGGCAGGCTGAGTGCAGGCCTAGAAACTCGGGGGTTTTAGTTCTAATTTGGATGTTGAGTTGCTGCCATGGGTCAGCTGCCTAACCTGTTAATTCCTGCCGCTTGTTCTCTGTGTTAAACAGCTGCCGTGGTCAGGAAGTGGGCAGCCAGGTCTTGGATGAATTTGCAGAGATGAAGGTGGAAATGAACAAAGATCAAGAACTGAAGGCATTGTAAGGGTTGTAGTCCAAGCAGAAAGAAAAGGGCCACGGTCAGAGAGTAATCTTGATACTGGACAAATCACTTATAACAGCTACAGGACAAGACAAGTTCAGGCGGAAGGAAGTGCCTCCATCAGGGAGGGTTTGGGACAGCGAAAAGACAAAACTGGAGACAGGTGAGGAACACAGCCAAAGACTTGAGTGGCAGGGATCAAAATCAAGAATTAACACCAGGAACGAGGGTCTGGTCAGTCTGCCAGCTCTCAAAGCATCTCTGCAATGAGCACTACCTGATACCATGTAGCTCATAGGATTGTTGGGCTCGGGGTAAGTCCTCCTTCTGGTGTCTCTGACCACTGGGCAACGATTTGCCACCCGTGAGGGGGTGACTTGTGGCTGAGAGACAAAGGGTTTTAATTAATTTTATTTGTAAAATGTTTTGAAATGTTGCTGCAATAAAAGAAGGACACTTGGAAGCAGGAAAAGCCCCCTCCTCCTTTTTTTTCTTTCTTGTAGCACGGGTTAGGGTTACAGAAGGTTACAGTTCCTGACTGTGTGACAGAAATCTGTGTCTGCGGAATCAAGTACCGGTCGCAACTGTTTCCTGTTACTGTTTTTGTATGGAATTTTTTCCAGTTTTCAGAACAGAAGTGTTAGGCAGAGATCAAAATAATGTAGGTTTAGCAATTCCTGTGACATAGCTTTCAAGCATCTTCCACATGTGTACAGTGAAAGATGCCATATTCTTTTTCTTATATGTGCCCTATAATACTTACTTAATACTCTTGTACTGCTGTAGCTATTTCCATAGAACTCCTGATGGTTCCTCCCTGTGCTGGCTTCTCTGCTTCCAGGCAGGGAAGAAGCATTGACTCCACAGTGAGCATAAAACATAATCCGAGGTCAGGCCTTTCTTTCTTTCTGTAGGCAGAGTTAAGACTTGAATCCAAGTTGTTCCCAAAGCTTTATGAGTTGTTTGTAGGCCTAACCCAAGCAAGAAATGGTTGAGATGTCTGTGTTGGAAGGGAGTTTGTCTGACTGAGGAGTGAGGCTAAAGGATGGTGATCATGTTTAGGGCATGTGTTGGTATTGTCAGTGCAGGTTTTTGGAACAGAAGGCCTGGGAACTAGCACCAGAAAGCCTGAGGTAGGAGCCCTGTAGCTGGAACCCTGGTAATCTGCAACGACTGTTCTCTGGTTAGGCACATACTGTTCACAACTGCCAGTTGTGGACTTATAATAATTGCAGTGAAAATGAATGAAATGGAAATGAATCAATCAGGGAAACATTCTGGCGAGATTTGCAGTGGATGCCAACACAGCTGTTTATGCTCTTATATCAGAACTTAGCAGTTCAAATCATGTAAGCCTATTCCATAGGTGACTGAAGTTTAGTGGGAATGTGATGATATATACAACAGTGGAAGAAAGCAAAACAGTTTGGCAGTGCCTGGAAAAACTGCGGCTTTTCTGAGTTCTGCTTGAGTAATTTTATAGTCAGTGTTTTGAATTCCAGAAGTATGAATGAAAATGTCCCTAAGTGAGAGCCTGCTCTGTCTGCTTTATTGACTTGCATGGAAGCAAAATTGGATAAGAATTCAAACTGAAAATATAAATGGTACAAGATTAAGTGTGATTATTCTGTTTCTTGAGTTCACTTATTTGCCTGTATTTCTGTATAGAGGCAAAGGTTTGATAAATCTCACTTCTAAAAATAGCGATTATTTGCTTTCATACTTGCCATTTGTCTGAAATAAGTAACTTGTGTCTACACAGCAATAAGCTAAGCTAATCTCATATTCTCCTACTCAACTCTAGCACGTGCAAATGCTTGAAATCACCGCATTGAAATCTCTGCCTGCTTGTGTGCACAAGTATTTTCAGAATTGGGTTTTAGTTGTTTGAAATATTACCTTGTGTTGGCCTGTAGGTCATCTACATAAGTAGAACAGCCAGAAACTGAAAAAAAAAATTCATTCTGCAGAATCTTTTGTTTTGGGAAGGAGAGAACGAGTAATAAAAAGCAGAGGTCCTAAAGCTGATCACGGACTTGGAAGATTAACATCTTTGACTTAATTAGAACAGACCCATAGAAACCTGAAGTCTTTGAGTTTGAGAATACATGAAATTGTGAGAGGACCTAGGAACTGTAAATTTGAGGAACTCCTTTTCTTCCTAAGCACTTGTATTAAGATCAATAAAATGTAAAACTGGGGTACAAGTAAACAAATGTTCACTGCTTGCTCTCCTTTCGTGTTGCGTTGTTTTCAGTCATACTGTGAACTGTTTGGATTGCAAATCTTTTTGGGGAGGGTGCATCGAATTGTTCAGTTGTCTCATGTGAGGTTATGTAGCATCTGTCTAGAGGCTATCCTTACATATCTGTTGGAGGAGGCAGTATACTAGATAAATGGACTGGTTGTCAGTAGTAGTGCAAGAAATTATATATCCCTTTTTTGTTTTCCTATAAATCAAGATACTCTGTTGACACTGGATATATGTGACTCATTGTACTTTATAGCCTAACATTCATGCTAATACTGAAGGTGTTCTTATTGTAGACTACCCCAGATGTGAAGAGTTGTCATGTGCAAATGGAGCATGTTTTAATGCAAGCCAGCGATGTGATGGCAAAGTTGATTGCAGAGATTCTTCTGATGAGGCTAATTGCAGTAAGTACCCCATGCAGAGTGATCCCAAACGAACCTGTTTTGTAGACCCTCTTTTAAAGATTGTGGTTTTCTGACAGATTTTCTGTATGTCTTTCTATGCTCGAATCTCTTTCAGCACATGGATGTACCAGTGCGCAGTTTCAGTGTGCTAATGGAGAATGCATCCCACGAGCCTTTATCTGTGACCATGATGATGACTGTGGAGACAGGAGTGATGAAAACTCTTGCAGTATGATGGGTTTTCTTTTCCTCTTTCTTTAACTGTTTTACTAAGAACTGGTTCAAGCAGATAGCAGGAAGTAGATTACTTGGCTATACAGACATCAAAAGTTAATGACTGTTCTACAAGAAGTTTTTTTGTATGGAAAGATGGAAAATGCAGTGCTACTCTGGTAGACTTTTCTCAGGTCATCTTTTCTGCTAAGTGCCTGGAAGTGTGGTGACTATTTGAACTTTCTGGATTCAGTGACAGCGTGCTTCTTAACACATATAGCTTCACTTCTTCATGTTGTTGTAATTTTCTTCATTTCAGCATGACCCAAATATAATTCCTTCACTCTGAAATCTCAGTTAGTTAGAGCATGCTTTTGGTTTTTCGTCCATATCTGTCTGGCTCTTTTTTTTCATTTTCATCCATGGAATGGGTCGTCTAGAATTATTCCCAGTGACAATACTGCACAACTTTACAGACAGATGGCTGTACAGATTGTTGTCCTTTAGGTGTTCACATAAGGTCTTTAGTTGACTGTTCCATTTCTGGAAAGTGCTTGCTCATTCTTTTCTTCACGATCAGGGTACCCCAAGCTATTACATCTCCAGCTAAAATCATGGCTGTAGAGTTATCTCTGTGTGGGTGTAGAATGATCTCTGTATTTAAAAAGGTCCCCCACTGATTACAAGAACTGAGTTTTGTATTCTGTATTGCAGGAAGGCCGCATACTGACATTTAGTTGCTCTGTCCTACCAAGAACCTCACACCACTGTGATTCCACCCCACACCCCTGAATGTTTCTCTTTCATGTCTGTGGCAATGCCTGTCCTTTGGAGGACCCACGAATGTTTCTGAACTCTTAGGAGGCAATGCTTCCCCACCGTGGAGGGCTGTGACAAAAATGGTCTTTTTTTTCCTTCTTTTTTCCCCCCACTCTGTTTCTCTGAGCACAAGGCATACAAACAGCTGATGTTTTGAGTATCCCTGACAAGTCCACCTTCAGGAGCTTTGTTAATAAGGTGCTCTGCATCTCGTTGCACAATTAATTGAGAAATTTAGCCTTCCTTTTCCTGTCTGTAAAGAAAGAGAGCATTATAAAATAAAGTCCATACCTAAACCAAGAGCAAAACAGCAGCATTTACAATCTATACAAGATATGGAACTGGCTCAGTTTTTCAGAAGAGATTATAAATGACTGTTCGTCTTTGAGACAATATTACCGTTTCTGACCTTTTAGTCAGTTCGAGTAGTTTGATTTTCTCATGTTTCTTTCCTTAGCTTACGCGACTTGCAGAGGCAACTTCTTCACTTGCCCAAGTGGCCGTTGCATTCATCAGAGCTGGATATGTGATGGAGATGATGACTGTGAAGATAATGAAGATGAAAGAGGATGCGGTGTGTACTAATGCTAACTTGTAATGACGTTTTCAGAGGAGGACCTCACTAAGCAACTTCTGTGAAATTCTGACCAGTCAAGATGTTCTGAATCCATTTTAGTTCTGTGAAATCCTTAAAACTCCCGTCTTCATCAGTTCATTTATTTTTTTTTCACTTGCGCAATATTTTTTATTGTTGTATGCGTGAGAGTTACGGCTGTGACGCTGAGTATGGTGCAAACTAAGTTTAGCATATAGCAACATCTCTTTTCTTCTACATCTTCTCTTACATTTCATTTTTTCATGTGGAGATTTTTCAAGTCATCTCTTAAGTGACACAAGACTCCTAATAACCAAAATCAATTGATTGAAAATGAAAATAACTCAGTTCCTGCCAAGGTTTGTTATGCAAGGAATAGGAATTTTAATGCATGAAAGTGTGGGCTTTTTTCTGGCCCTTTCTATGATAAGCATTATTCTCTTTACCCAGACAGCCTTTACATGTTCTGAAACCACAAAACTAGAGTTCCATTTCTGGGGCACCAGTTAGCCTGAAGCTAAACGGTTTCACTGTTTCTGAACAGCACAGAAAACTAAAAGGATTCATGTGTCTGCACAAGTATTGTTTGCAGAGTATGGCAAGGAAGTATAGATGATTTCTTTTGTAGTCTTTCCCAGCTGTGTGCAAGAACCAGAAACTGAATAATGAAAGATAGAGGTGCTTTGGGAAGTTGTTAGGTATTATTTGTAAGTATTATTTGAAACATACTCCTCAATTATTATTGTTTTTCTTTTCCATAGAAAGTGGTCACCATGAATGCTACCCAGGAGAGTGGGCCTGCCCTGGGTCAGGGCGTTGTATTCCAATTGGGAAAGTGTGTGATGGGGCTGCAGACTGCCCTGCAGGAGAAGATGAAACGAACATCACCGCGGGCAGACATTGCAGTACGTATTAGAATCAAAGGCATACAAAGAATAGCAGAAGCATCAGTATTGATATATTTTTACATTCACCTTTTCTCTCCTAAATAAAACTTTGGAAGCTCACCATTTTTGTTGGCACTGTTTTGACTGGATGGTCTGAAAGAGGCATAGATGCTGTGAACAGACCGTTCCTGGAATTGTCATTCCAGGGTATTTTACATTTTTAATTTCTAGGAAAAGGAACATTCAAATTAATAAAACCATGCTTTTTGGAATAAGAGGGCAGAAAAATAATAGGAAATTAAACACAAAAGTGTTTCTTGCTTTACTGAGGCAAGAAACTGATGCTTTAGTAGTAGCATCAGATGCGGGCTGCAAAGCAAGGCATTTAATAAAAGAAATTGAGGAAAAAGAAGATGAAAAGAAAGGAGGTGGATGTCAGCAAGTGCTTTAAAATTATAATTGGATCACATATCACTGAATGGTTTAATTAGGTATTAGTACAAGGAAAGGGAGAAATAGTGATGGAGAAAGGAAGAGAGAGAAGAAAAGGATAAAGAAGAGCTTCTCTACAGACACAACCTGACCAATATATTCTAACACATTGCAGTAATATATTCTTTTTAATATAATGTGGTAGGATTTTTCTTGCATAAAAGTGTAAATGATGAGGTTATGTGCCAACAGATGGAGCTTGAGGATGTGTTGTTCAAAGTAGGTCTTGTGGGACCAGAGAAAGGGCCTGATGCATTGCAGATGTCCTCCTCTGTCCAGCTTTTTACATGGCACTTACCAGTGGTGGTTCATGTAAGACTGATGCTTATCTTTTAACTCTGTTCTCAAAACCTATTATAAACAGTAACTTATCTTCTAACATTTCCTTGCCTGCATGTATGTAAGCATATGTGATATTGTGAAACTTCAGACATAATTTCTTGTGCAGATTTGTTTTAAAGAGGTGTTCCTGAAACTGTAGAAAAGACGATAGCTTTGCAACTGTTAATAAGGCAAAAACTGTTCTACTGGTAATACAGGTAAGTGTATTTCTGAACTGTTGTATTTCCTTTTTAGACATATCACACTGCGCTGCTCTGAGTTGCCAGTATCGCTGTCATTCTTCTCCATCAGGAGGGATGTGTTACTGCCCTGCAGGATATACAATAAGCAGCAATGATAGTCGTACTTGTATTGGTAAGTGAAATACAGTGATTTGCAGGTATCTCTGACCTTGCATCTCATTGAGAAAGTTTGGATTCCAGGAAGGCGAGTAAGTTCCAGTGGGTGGATGAACCAGCGAATAGAAAATCTCAAGAGTCGGCAAAAGAAGAAAAGTCTAAGTAGTACGGTGGCAGCATGGTGACATGGAAACAAACCAGAGAGATATAATAAAGATCTCTTTCAGTAAGACCATTAAAGACACAGAGAGAGCATGGATGGCTGTCTTATTATCAGGGTTTTTTTACAGGCCTTTTAGTGGTTGGATGGGAAGAGTTTTTCTGCTCCAGGGATGTGTGTTGTGGTATGCCTGGAAAAAGAGTTAATTATGTTGAAGTGTTTGGTACTTTTTGAAGGTAGCTGTACGGGAACACAGTAGAAGATTGTACTTTAAAATGAAAAGGTTGCTTGGTATTTGCACTATGGAATGTCTGTATCTCCTATGAAATTTAAGTTTATACATTATTTACATGAAAATGAAGAATATTTGCAAGAATTTGAAGATAAGCAAGGTATTTTGATGTTGCATTTCTATTCTGTAGCTGCTGTAACTTGGTATTACAAACCCTTGGTAGTACAAATTATTTATCTTGGTAACTTGGTAACTGGAAATAGAGTAACTTCAGAATTGTGAAGTTTAGCACTGCCTAATAAAAGAAACTGAGTAGATATGTTATGAGTTTTCAATCCAAGCTGTGGTGTTCCTGGTATTAAAAGTATTTCAGGTCTCAATCTTGAATTAGATTTCTGTATTTTTGAGTATACTGGGTGACCTGGGGCTGTATGAGCTGCAGTGACAGCACATGTTGCTCTTAACAGAGAGGAGAAATCAATGCACTGACTCCAGGCACAAAATTTACTCCATTCTTTCACTTCTATGGGGGAAATACATGAAGCATACATTTGCAAACCCGGTGCAGTCTCAGTGAGTCTCCTGTTGTTTTTTCACTGCCCTGTAAACCTAGCTCTCTGATTCTGGCTTAGAAATATGGGTTAATGTATTTTGGTTTGATGAGATCTAGGCATACGTTTGTAGTGGGAGCAAGACTCGCATAGGGGAATGGCTTACAGTCGGTAGTGTATCATTCCAGGTCTTAGTTTAAATCAATATTATTGATTTAAGGCCAAGAGAATGAAGCTATGGTGTTAGTAAAGTGTATTACTTCTTTAAACCATAAGCTTTTCAATTTGTCTTCTCTTACTTTCCTTCTGGCTCACTATATATTGAAGGTTTTTAACATGTATGGACGCTGGAAAGCTACTGAGATAAACATTTTTTTTCAGTACTAAAATCTAGATACTAGATCTAGGAAATACTATCTAGGAAATATTTCACAGAATCATAGAGTGGTTTAGGATTGAAGGAACCTTGAAGATCATCTAGTCCAACCCCCCTGCCATGGGCATTTCATTTTCACTTAAATATTAATAAATGTTTAAAACCAGAATTCCAGCTGGAAGAATATTTGAGATCTCATTTTCTCCTTTTTTGCCTTAAAAGCAGAATTATCAGTTTCCAGCAATGTGAGTTACTGATTCTACTTCTAATGTCAAAACCCTGTGTTAAGTAGTGTCATAAATCTCCAGGGTTTTACATAACCATGGATAGGATGAAACACACTACAGTGTTCAGATTTTAAAAGTTCTTGTTTTCCAAAGACTACTAGTTAAATATTTCACAATTTCAGAAGTAAAAGATTCTTCAGCAACACTGGAAATTCCTTGTAGAGCACAACTGTGAGAACTTGCTGGGTTGTCTTAGCTGCAGACACTACCTGTGTGGTATCTTGCATGCCAAATTTAACTTCTTTGTACTTTTTGCTGTCTGGTTCTGTTGCACGGCCAGCTTTTGATTGGAAATCAGACACTTGTTAGCACAGTACCAAGTCTGAGCTTATAAACGCTGCCTTTTAGCAGGACTTGTTAGCTTGAGCACTGCACTAACATAAAGGTAGGGCTCTCCTTCAGAGTGGGCTTAGATCCAGCTGAGTGTGCGCGCCAAGTGCACAGATTTGTCGCATGAGTACTGCATAGACCTCTTCTGCGTTGTGGAAAGTTGACAATGACATCCCTTCCGATGATTTTTCCTCTTCTTCTGACAGGTGGGATCCAGGGGCATGTGTAGGTCCCTGGGCAGCAAACATCAGTTGTTTTGGTATCCAGAAATAGAAAATTGAAGCATTTGTGAAAAAACCCTAGAAGAACCTCTTTTCCCATACCACAGTTTTGCAAATAGATATACAGCAAGTGGAGAAGCCAAACTTGCAGCTTCCCAGATACGATACTTGTGTTATACAAAGCATAGTTTATAAATATGCCTTATTCACTCAACAGATTTTGATGACTGCAAAATGTGGGGTGTTTGTGACCAGCTGTGTGAAGATCGCGTGGGACATCACCAGTGCCACTGTGTGGAAGGTTATTTCCTAGAGCATCATCGGCACTGTCGGGCCAACACTTCAGGTTAGTGTGTAGCACTGCAAGTCTCTAGCTGTTGTTGGACTAATACGTATTGCTAGATAAAATTGGGCAATTTGCATGGCTGTGCCATACAACTGTGCTTAATCTTAACTTAACTCTGGCCGTAAGGACTTAAGGTCAGGACAGGATCCAGAACATCAATAAATATCAGCAAGATTCTGTGTCTGCTGGCACCTGTAGACTAGTGGAGATGACTGCCTCATCAGGGCTGCTTCTCCTCAAAACAGTGTCTTCTGGGCTCCAGCACTTTCTCAGCATTCTTGACTTCCACAGAGCTGGGAGGTCATGGCCAGAGCCTTCCTTAATAGACAAAATCTTGCTCCTGTGGGAGGCAGTTTCCTAACCTGCTCTCTGTGGAACTTGGTGGGATTGAGAAATCAGGAAACCTCACTTTTTTCTGGAAAGACTGTGCCATGCAAGAACCTGTCTTTGCTGAATGGTGACCTCAAATGCTTGCCTGTGAGAGAAACCATGCTCCTGGCTTCTAGTGTCCCTGAACTCTGCGAGAATGCTTGCCTCACACAGAGTGTGGATCCCCATCAACAGTAGGCAGCTGCTCCTGGTTGTTCACCTCCTGCTCCGTTCTGAAAGCAGGCCCTGGGAAGCCCTTCTTTGTGGACATGTAATAGTCTAACAGGCTTTTGTGTGAGGCAGGTGTTCCTGCCTGTAAGAACTCTGGGAATGAGAGTCCCTGCTTGGCACAACTGATTAGCAGTCTTGCTTCTTAAGAAAGCATGAACTGCCCAGTTCCCTCCCCCTTCCTTCTTTCTTCAGAGCAGTCGTTACCTTGCTATTTACTAAGTATGACCTCAAAAAATAGAGGGTTTTTTGAGCTAATGAAGCTTTCCATTTGAATTAGTCTGACTTTTGGGCCAGTGAATTGTTTGTAAAGTGTTGATTTTCTGTCTTATTAATGGGGGAATTTCATACTTGCTCTGTATCAGTTCCCTGGATTAATTTGTTGCTTTAACTGGGGAGGGTTTTATGTGTAGGGCAAATAGGATTTGGACTTAAATATATTCTTGCCAGTCTTACACCAAGCCTTTCAACAGGCATCTACTTTGAAAGTGAGTGTTCCTTCGAAGGCTTGCTGGAATCTCTCTTCCATTGTAAGATACAGCAAAGATTTTCTAATGAGATGAAAGAATGATGAAGGTGGATAGGATAGAGCAGTACATAAAAAGATAAGGAACATGACCTGCCTGCTGGAATCAGGGAATATCTGAATCTCATGGGGCAGAAAAATCTTAACATTTGTACTTTGATTAAGGGGACTCAAGCAAGGAAATAGGAAAATACAAATAGTCTTTTGGAGTTTAGATGCACAGAGGTTTTGTAAAGTTTTACCTGGTAGGGCTTTAAATCCATATTCCTGCCTGGTTTGCACCAAGTCTAGAAACCAAAGACAAACCAAAGCAAGTCAGTATCACATAGAGACATATATGTAGTTTGTAGTCTGAGCATCCACTTAAACCTGTGTGTCCATTGTGCATTGACAGTATGGGTATATTTCAATACCCCTTTTCAAAATAGCTTGCCCGCAGAGTAGTCATGTGTTTGTCACCCCTGCTTTCAGCTGGTGTTGCATCTATTATTTTTTCCAACGGCCGTGACTTGCTGATTGGAGATCTTCATGGAAGAAGTTTTCGTACTTTGGTGCGATCGCAGAACCGTGGAGTTGCAGTTGGAGTAGACTTTCACTTCTACCTGCACAGAATCTTTTGGACTGATACGGTGCAAGATAAGGTGGGTAGAAATTTCAAGAAAAATATATTTTTGTGTGTGTGGAAGCAGAGAACTTCAAGAAGCAGAATGTGTTGATACGCTTTCATTTCTGAGAGTAGAAGCTGGCTGTATTTTTGTTTTCTAACAAAAAAGCTCCTTGAAATGTTTTATGTTAATGACTGCATTTTCCAAGCTATACTATTACATGTGACATATTAAACAAAGAATTCTATTATATGGGAATGTCTTGAGCAACTTTTAATTTTACTCGAGATGGAGTCCAAAAAACTAATTAAGAGAAATAGTAGACATTCTTTCAAAACTGAGCAAATTTTTCTTGGTAATTTTTTGAAACATGATCATTTGAAATGTAAAAGCAGTGTGCCTTCCAAGATGATAAAAATCAGATTTCTTCGTATACTTCAAATGGCACTGTAATTGAGCTTGGATAACAAATATTGACAGTATTTTGTGTAATGAGCCAATATTTTGTTACATTTTTTTTGAAGAGGAAATATTTTAGCTTCAAAGTGGAGTAGAACAGAGTAATTTTAAAAAGTATTCTGGAGACCCTTGTGAAAGTTGGACTTCACCCTTGTTCTTTTTCTCCATGCATAACTTATTGAAACAAAATACAGTCCTAGGTTAAATGCTGAAACTCCACAATCTTCATCCCTGTGTTGTCATGCAGAGTAAAGGAGAATCCATGGCCTGCTAACACCACGTGTAGATCAATGTGGTGTCACTGTGGTTATTCTGAACCTACACACACAGCTGTAGACTGTGGTTTCTCCTGCCGTGCCGTGTTGGTTCTGTTGGAGAGCACACTGCTTGGCTGTCAGGTAGGACAGGAGTCGCACAATTTTTGGCTTGTTCACAGTTCCGGCAGTTTTATTTGCACTGCAGTGGGTTCCCATTACTGCAGTTGCATTGACAATGGCTGAATTAAGTCAGTGTCAAATCTGAACTTGCATGGAACAGGAGGTTCATGCGATCTCTGTAAAAGGCATAAACAAAAGATAATAGGGGTTTTTCACTGCACGCCCCAGATGGCCGAGACTGCCTTTTTATCTGCTCCAATATAGTTAAATCCTAGTTAATTAATTAGGATTAATTAATCTAATTAAGTCCTAGCTAGAATACCCAGATGAAAATGAAAACATTAAGAATTTTCTTATGTGATGCATGTTTCCCTGGGTATCTTATAATAAAAATATTATTAAGGGTTGGTTTTTCTTGGTTGCCCCTTTTTTTTTCTTTTAAGATTAAGATGTAAACTCAACCAGAAAATTGGGATTGTGTTCTTTGTCATCTTTATCTCATTTAGTGTCCTGCCTGCTAACCTAATGCCCATAAGCTCTTCCATCAACGAGGTTTTCAAAGAGCAGAATAGACAGTTAAATGGTTTGCTTGATTGTTGTTACCTGGACTTGAAGAGTGTTCAAAATGATGTGACTATTTCAGCTCTTATTTTTCTTGCATGTATTTACTTGTGGTAGTCTGTATTTTCATTTAAATACATTCCAAGCCTCATGCTGTTGTTCCAAAAATGAGACAATGATTGCTGGGTTTTCGTGTTACCCAGTGTTATAATCACACGATTACTGTATGTATGAAACTATCACGTTTATACTATTTGCTTGTAAGGCAACAACACTGTTTCTTCTTGGGCATGATGATGTTAAAATTAGCCTTAAATAAAAGAAATCAGAAGCAATGCTCCTTTCTGTCAGGACAGAGCTTTCCCTTTCTTCCTTCACTTTGCAATTTCCCCTTACTGGTTGGTGCAGTAAGAGCTCCCCCTCTTGTTTCTGGTCACTGATGAGAGCCTTGCTAAAGCTCCTTCATTTGTTTTCAGTTAATAGAAATACTGGGTTTTGCTCGATTCCAGGAATGCAACATGTACCTTCCTATCCATTTTCTTTTAAATCCAACAGTCTGACATGTTTGCTAAAGCACAAGGGTATTTAGTCTCATAAATACTAGTTGAAAGCAAGCTTCCTGTGGTTTTTGCATTGTTTTCTAAATTTTTGCAAAACCCCCTAGGCTAAGGAATAGCTCAGTAGGTAACTTGGTTGTATCTGCTGGCCAGTTGTGGATCTGTGCCCAATGTGGTGATAAAGGAACAGCACCATGGGCCTTGTGGTGAGCACAACATCATGTGGGCACTGACAGTGTTTGTATCGTTTTCAGGTTTTTTCCATTAATATTGATGGCTCCGATTTCCAAGAAGTTTTAAATGTTTCAGTTGACACACCTGAAAATCTAGCAGTGGATTGGGTTAACAATAAACTGTACGTGGTTGAGACCAGTGTGAACAGGATAGATATGGTTAACTTGGATGGAACAAACCGTGTGACTCTTATTGCTGAAAATCTTGGAAATCCTAGAGGAATAGCACTTGATCCGACTGTTGGGTAAGTGATCTGTGTCAGAGGATAGTGAAAGGTGTCAGAAATCCCTTTATTCCCATGCAAAGGGGGGAGAACTAAGACATAGGATGGTCATTTTCGAATCGGATAGAATATGTTTTAATAATTTACATTGTATCCTTAAATTGTTATGGGAGGGCTGTGCATTGCTTTTATTCCTAATGTGCAGAATCTGTTTTATGTTTAGAGTGCGGGAGCAGCTCAGGGGATCTGTGGAGTTGCCCTGCAATAGAGTAGAAGTTGTCCTGGAAGTTTTCTGTTGTGATACCATCCATAGACCTCCTACTCTCTGAAATGAAGGGATGGAGTGAAGCCAGGGACGCCGGTGTCTCCCAGCCTAACAGGCTTCAAAAATGTATTTAGGCCATGAAAACTTAGATCCTCAGAGGATGGGGAAAGGAATTCCGTGCACCTTGTAGTGATGGATGCTGCTTTCACAGTGCAGCAGTTTGTCATTGGTTTATTTCTGGCAATGCTTAAATGCTTAAGTCTGTGTTCTAGTAAGGAAACTCGGTATTTCTGAGGTCATCTGGGTGAAAGCATGTTATGCAAATTACTTCTTGGGATGGAGGGTTACAGTGTGTTTTCATAGTATACCGGCTAAGAATCAAGCTCTGTCCCGAAAGAGACAGGTTTTAAATTCCATGTAAAATGTTGGTTTTTTGTAAAATCTCAAGGAAACATGGAATTTTTTTTTTTCCCTTTATAGTTATTTGTTTTTCTCAGACTGGGATAGTCTGTCTGGTGATCCTAAAGTGGAAAGGGCCTTCATGGATGGCACAAACCGTCAGGACTTGATAAAAACAAAATTAGGCTGGCCTGCTGGAATAACTCTGGATATTGTATCAAAGAGACTTTACTGGGTTGACAGCCGGTTTGATTACATTGAGACTGTAACTTATGATGGGCTTCAAAGGTAAGAGAAATATTATCCCTTGGAGGTTACAGATACACTGATTATTTTGTATCTACTTCGAAGAAAGATTTGTCTAACAAAATGAAATACACAAAGGGTGACAATGACAACGTAATGGATGTGATGCACCTTGCTCTCTATGGTTTCGTGCTACTTTTAGAAAATCCTTAATTCCTCCATCATTCTTTGTCCTTTTTCTACCTTGAATACCTATTGCACTTCTTTATAATGTACTTTTTTATAATCTACCACTACAGTACACATTTTTATAGCATTTGCTCTTGAATTATATACATTGTTTTCCAGCATGATTTGTTTGTATCCTTTTCATGAATGAATTCATTTGAAATACTCCACTGCAAAGCACCACTTTGCATAATGGGTATTAAGTGCTCTTCTTATGTTTTATAAACCTTTGCTGTCAAAAATTGTCACTCATCCTCTTGTGGTGCTGGGGAAACTATATCACAGCATGCAAAAAAGGGGTCCTTGAGTTTTTATGTGACTGCATCTTACACTACAGTGTTTAGAAGCCTGCTTATCTCTGCGTCTGTGATCAGGCTGTTACTCAAGCTCAAGAAAACAAAATGTCCCCTTTGGCACACCTCAGACATACTGATTTGAAAAACAGTCCTCTGCTCATTTGACAGATTTATTCCTCAGTGTATTCTTTCACTCACAAAGTTGTAACAGTAATGCTGTACATTTACTCCTTTATCAGAGTTTATTAAGACAAGAATGTGTTTAGTAAAATCTCTACTTTTTGGAGATAAAAACTTGTTACTCATAGCAACACAAAAATCTTCTGGATGTTGTGCAAGTGGGCAAGAGGCAATGGCATAGTCTGCAAAGGATGTGAAAATGCAGCTTACTGTCTGCTTGTGTCACATCTCGCGTGCCTACAGCATGAACCTGAATCACCCAGGAACCTGTTAGAGTAGAGCTGTGGAACTGTTCTGATTCTGTAGTCCTTCCTTGATGACCCCGTGACGATATTGTAGTTGTTGTTAGTATGTATTGTGTGAGGACTTACATGACTCCTAATATTTTTCCAGAAAACTGTTGCCACAATATCTTGCATAGAATAGATACAATTTATTAACATTTGGTTTTCTTTTTCTGTTGTTTTTAACTGCATACATTGTACTTTATTTTTGGCCAGTGACTGTTGCAGACATAGTTTTTTTTTTTACATTCAAGGTTTCTTGAATATTTCAAATTGCTACAGATGTCTTTTATTTCCTCTGGCCTATTTCCCTGGTTTTCTATCAGTGATTATGAATCTTTTCCGATGTTTGTGGGTCATTGTCTCTACTTGCTCTGTTTTCTTTTGGTTTTGATTGCTCTTCATGTTCATGTTTATGGACCCTGTATGTTTAGCTTCATCTCTTCAGTTCATTTGGTCTTTTTCATTTGTACTTTGTCAGCTGCTATGTAGAAGCAATAAACTAATAATCCTGCATCCTTTCCTCTGCTATTAAAGTTATTTTCCAGACATTCTTTTGTAAATAATTTTAAAACTGTCTTTATGACAGGAGAACGATAGCCCATGGAGGCTCACTGATTCCTCATCCGTATGGAATCACTTTGTTTGAACACAATGTGTATTTCACTGATTGGACCAAAATGGCAGTGGTGAAAGCTAACAAGTTTTCAGAATCGAGCCCTCAAGTGATCTACCAGTCTTCCCTGAGACCTTACGGCGTGACCGTTTACCATGCTGCCAGGCAGCCATATGGTAAGACAGTAAGTGGAATATTAAGAAAAGTTTATGAACGATCTTACCAAAAGTGGGTTTAAATTATGAGGCACTCTTACATTGCTGTGAAGGACTAATAGTTCCAACACATAGATTTGTATGTTAAAACTGGACTGGTTTTTGTCACACAGTGGTTTCGTCCAGCTCCTGTAGCTAATGAATTGCCAAATGCAACACTTAGGAGTTGAGGAGCTTATTAAATGTATGGATGTTTGGAAGAGTCAAACTTGTTCTTATGATCAGTGTTGGTGTTTGGTTGGTTGTTTTTTTCCCCCCTTAACACTGCAATGGAAGTGCAGTTGGAAAAGACTACCAGTGTGAATGAATTCTGTGAGATATAATTCAGAAGTAGATCTTTATGCAGAAAACTACAGCCCAGATTATGGCCTCACGGCTGTGTGCTGAATGTCTCTGTACAGAGCTGAATGCCGGAATGCTGGTTAGCTCTGATGTGATTTTGGTGTCTTTCAGGGTAGAACTGGTGGTGTATGATTTCTACGTGATGTAATTCCCACAGAGTCCACACGATTTATTGTGGATGTTGGAAAAAAATAATGAAAAATCAAGATAAAGATGCCATTGGATTAATAGCTGAAGTTATGACCCTATTTGTATTATTTTCCAGTAAGAAATCCTTGTGGAAGTAATAATGGGGAATGTGAACAGGTCTGTGTTCTCAGCCACAAAACAGATAATGATGGACTCGGTTATCGCTGTAGATGTATACTGGGCTTTGATCTACATGTAGATGGACGACATTGTGTTGGTAAGAAAATGCCTTTTGATGGAAATAGCACTGTTGCATTAGCTCTAGAGTCATTTCTGGAACATCCTTCCCCTCTTCAATAGCTTTGTGGGTTCAGTATGCCAAGAACTTCATGTTTTTCCATGACAGTTCTTGTTGACAGCTTTAAATGTAATAATTTCTGCTGATGTTATTTCAAGCCATAACAACTTAAACCCACAACCTTTTATGAGCATTTTAAGAGAATTAGATGGAGTATGTGTAGACAGCTGTATGATTAAGCTCCGAATCCTGAAATCAGGCATGGATGCTTACTAATATGCAGATTCTACATTATTTTGAACATGTAAGCCTACTTTCTTTTGCAGTAATGTGCAGATTAGGTTGGTCTTCTCCCTTCCAACACACGTGGCAAGAATAAAAGTTTCTGTTTTGGAGCTACGGGCTTCCATCAGCAATCTGCTGCTTCCTGTCTGAGTGTAGAATTGCCACTGATGGGAGGTTTACCATGTATATCTACTGGCAAATTAAGCCAAATATATTGTCTATATTTTTACTATTTGACCACACATTTATCTGACTAGTTCAGATATGATCTGTTTGTATGGTGGCTCCTCAAAGCCTGTGAGTTACTTTTTCTGATTGTAAAAAAGTGAGGACAGAAGGTGACCTCTGCTTCCATACGAGTGTTTTCTGTCAGGGTGTATTAGGACCACAGTAACAATGCACGTGGAACTCCTCACCACATCACCTAACATTCTGGGTTGCGTTTGGTTTTACTTCTTCAGTTTTTAGGACTGTGTATATTTAAATTCCTATTTTCTCAAACTTCTTTTTTTCAATTTCCAGACTGTTGCCAAAGGAAAATAAAGCTTTACAGTTATTTAATGCTCAATTGTCTCACCTTGTGAATGTGTCATTCGTTTTGCAGCTGTGCAGCAGTTCCTGCTGTTTTCATCCCAGCTGGCAGTGCGGGGGATCCCATTCAATCTCTCCTCCCAGGAAGATGTGATCATACCTGTGACAGGGAGCCCTTCATACTTTGTTGGAATTGACTTCTGTGCTCAGGATGACACCATTTTTTTTTCAGACACAAGTAGAGACATGATCTATAAACAGAAAACCGATGGTTCAGGTGAGAGTTGTTGTTAGGAATTGTAGAGCAATTGTGTGATAAGGAGAGTAGAATATATATTTGTAAAAAGAAACACAGAAAGTCACATTGTGAGATAGACAGATAGAGCTCAGTGTCCCCCCAGTGGTCTGGAAAATGTCAAAACTCATTGTTCAACTCATATTGAACTCGTTGAAGTCTTCTGTTCTTTGAGAAACTTGCTGAATGTGTTTGGGAATGAACTGTTTGTAGCACTTCTCACAGCTAGGATTTGTTATCACCAGCCTGTTCATGCAGACTGGTATGCCTGTCAGTAGTAGGTAACTGAGTTTCTCTTTTTAGTTTCCCTATCTGGAGAGCAGGATGTTTGTTATGATGCTGCAATACAGAAAAAGAACATTATGGTTGTGAGATTTTTGGAAGTCCTATTTGTGACAGTTTGAAGAATGTTTCTCTCCAATTTGTAGTACTGATCACATATATATTAAGTCAGCATATAGTACTCTGAGTTTGCTTGCTACCTTGGGTTAGAATAATGGTAGACTGCAGCTGACCCTTACTATGCAAGAAGCAGAAAAGGGCTGATGTCTTTACTGTACTAACCTTACTGACATTCATTCATAAAACTCCTTTCAAAATCTCCTTTCGGTGTAACATTAGTGATGGATTTTCCTCTTGGCTTTGGCTAGTCTTTATCTCCCATCTTTTGGGTTTGTGAACATACATACCTCCTCTGCCCGGAGCAAAGGGCACACCCCTCCCCTTGGTGAATGATAGTTATATTAAGTAGCACACAGGCAGCATTTTTACCAAGAGAATCCACTTGTGTTGTTTCCTCTGTTTCTAACCATTTGCAATCATTATATGTGTTTTAAATTATAGGAAGAGAAATCCTGACAGCTAATAGAGTGGAAAGTGTTGAAGATTTGGCCTTTGACTGGATTTCAAAGAATCTGTACTGGACTGACCCTCGGTATAGGAGTATTAGTGTGATGAGGCTGGCAGATAAATCTAGGAGAGCTATTGTTCAGAATTTAAATAATCCTCGATCAATAGTGGTTCATCCCGTTATTGGGTAAGCTTAGCTTTGATTCTCACTTGAAACTATACAAACAATTTTGTGGTTTAAGCAGAACCATTGAGGTTAGATTTACATCTCATTCTGGATATCTGTTTGGATTTCTTTTCCAAAATACCATCTCTTTTCAGTTCTCTTGTCTTTATTTTGTTTGTTTTATTTTGGCCTAGGATTCAGCACCCAGAGGAAAGGGCAAGGTGATACAGATTCCACACAAAAGAACCATTCGAAAGAATTCTCTTTAAAAGCACCAGCCTGTTTTCTTTTACTCCCGTGTTTTTTAAACAGCAAAAGATCTTTGTTTCTTTGTGTCACTCAGATTAGAAAGCTATTTCTCATAGCTGAAAAATAGTTTTCTACGTTACTTTTAATATATGGTCAGTTTCCACAGTGCTAACCTCGATCCTTTATTTTTCTATATGAATGTCTTCATTTGGCCATATTAGATACTACTGACTGTATTTAAGAGACCTTACGATAATGTGATTCTGTGTATGTAAAGTGAAGCCCTACTTGTCTTTGATGGAAATGCTGAACTTCCAATTCAATACTCTGTTGTTTGACCATACTGAAACAGCATTCCTTTCACAGCATACTACCACCATACTACTGAATTTCTTAATTCTGGGATATTGACTTTTCATGTTTAGTAACCAAATGGACTGTTTTGGAAATAATCTTATAAAAATAGGGTTGGACTTGGATCCTTGGGTATCTAAACCTTTTTTATTCACTGCTTTGTAAAGTTATTTAACACTAGCTTCAGCTCATTGATGGTAGGCATAAGTCAAAAGGATCAGGAGAAAATCTTTTGTAATGTTCATGCTTACTTATAAGCGTTACCCGGAAGACACAGTTTTGCTTGAGTCCTCCTGCCATTACTGAGATGGAATCCTTAACAATTTTGACAGAGTTACAGATACTTTACGTCTAAAGGGACAAACTGCTTCTGGATATCTTTGAAGTTGTTTTACACAGGATAAAAAGTAATTGTTGGTACCGCTCCCAGTTGAGGAGAGGGTCAACATACAGTTGTATTTTTTTAAGGTACGTGACTATGTGGTACAAAGAAGAATGCTACTGCTGTTCAATCGTGTGCTCTATTTGATTATGTTATAACATTTGGTTTATGTGTCTTCTGACACGTGTCCTTTCAGGTATATATTCTGGACAGATTGGTTTCGTCCTGCTAAAATCATGAGAGCCTGGAGTGATGGATCCCATGCCTTGCCAATTGTGAATACAACGCTAGGCTGGCCTAATGGCCTAGCCATTGACTGGAGGTAAGGACAACACAGAAGATAGAGCAGCTTTTTGAGCCAGTGTGTTTCTTCCTTTAAACCGTTAGGGATTAAAAAGAAAGGAGTTGTGTCAGATTTCATGCACTGGCACTTTTGTGTTGAAGACCTTGTTTTTCAATTTGTTTAAAAGCCTGTAAAATGTCAGATTTTTCTCAGAATCCCTCCACACACACCCCAATAGCATCTTCAAAGTTTAACAGTGTTATTTGAGAAAATGTTAGTGTTTCCTAATGCACAAAGTGTCGTTTGAAGAGATATGACATTTTGGTTGTTTCTAGTTCTCTAAGGCTGTACTGGGTGGATGCCTTTTTTGATAAAATCGAGCACAGCACCTTTGATGGGCTGGACAGACGGACTCTTGAACGTATTACTCAGATGACTCACCCATTTGGCCTTACTATTTTTGGAGGTAAGTCTGGAATTGAGAAATGCCATCTATTATTATCACAGATCTGTTTTTCACATGTTGATTTGTGAGTGTACAGGATAAAATAACATGGCCTTTGTAATACTGCTTTTCCTATGAAAAGCACTGTTGAAAGTTTCTATACAAATACTTCTTGCTTGGTTTTGTGACTGTTTTTATGTATATCTGTGTTTAAATATTTTGAGGCAGATCAGATAGCTCTTTTAGTGTTACAAGACAGATATGCTGTACTAATTATAGCTTCCAAGGTGAACTACTCATGTTGGACAGACAAGGTAAATCACCTCCCTAGACATGATCAACAACTTCAGGATTTTAACTGTATGTAGAGTTTATCACTGGGTTTATGTTGTGTGTGAAGAAATATGTCAGCACCTGACCCCTTTTGATATTATGTAAAAATGTATCTAAAAATATTCTAAAGTTTTCTGGAGAGTTGTCTTAATGAATGACTTGGAACTTGAAATTTCAGCTGAGTCTATTATAGCTCAATGTAAGAGAAGTCTGAGAGGACTTCTTTTTCTAAGGTACGTCTGCCTATGACTGAAGAAGTTACTTTGCGTTAGTGATAAAAGTGCTTTTGTCTTTTTCATATGAAAAGATACTAAATGTATGTGAAAAGCTTTGCAGTTTTTTCTCATGATGCTTGATCTTGTATGTCATATTGCTCTGTAACTGTTACATGTTAAATGTCTTTCAAAACAGGTTATGCCTATTTCACTGATTGGAGACTTGGTGGAATAGTTCGAGTGCGGAAGTCTGATGGAGGAGAAATGACTATTATTAGGAGGGGTATCAGTAACATTATGCATGTTAAAGCATATGACGCTCATTCCCAAATAGGTGAGCTCTTTGGTTGTGCAGGTGATAGATATGAAATAGGGAGCGAGAGACAAAATATCAGGACAGTAGGGTTCCAGTCTCAAATTTAGAAGTGGCAACGTGGGATTGTAACTGACCCGCAGGGAAGGCAGCACAGGCACTTGCAATCACATGTTGTACATTTCGCTGTTTTGTGACAATGTGCAGTCTGCCTTCACCACTTCTCTTATTAAATAGCCTCATAAAATGAAATTATGATTCCATTCTATTTTGTGTAATTGTATCACCAATTACAACCTCGTATTTCTCTTTTTCTGATAGAAATTTTAGTTAAACAGAACTATTTATTTTGAAGAATTAGGTAAACATTTATTACTACTACTGTTCTTAAATAATCACTGTGCTTAAGTGTCTAATTTTTTCTTCTCTTCGCTGTTGGATTCTATGCAATTCTACGATCTAAACCAAGGTTTTAGTATTGCGATTAATTTAGTAAAACAATCAATGTACTTATCAAACATATGATCACACCATGTGCTAAGGCTCACCACCTCTTTGGTGTCCAGAGACTGGATCAAGTCTCCCAGCCTTGCTCTGACAAAGGTCCTCATTTGTGGTAGTGCACTTGTTTCTAGACAGTTGCTGAAAATTGGCAGGAAAATGGATGAAATCTAACAGTATGTTCTTAGCTTCCATAAACATTTGTGTCAATGAAGAGTATATGGAATGTGGGACTTATTATTACAGTTTACTGCTACTGTAACTGATTTGCTGCAGCATCATTTTGGTGACACATTTACAGTTACTATGCATTTTTAATAGTTCTCAAACTGTTACAAGCCCTGTATGCACTGATCTTTGCTATCACTTTTTAAGGCTCTAACTACTGTAACAGAGGAACAAATCCCAATGGAGACTGCAGCCATTTCTGCTTCCCAGTACCAAATTTTCAGAGAGTTTGTGGTTGTCCTTATGGCATGAAGCTGGCTTCAAACCACCTGACGTGTGTTGAAGATCCCTCCAATGAGCCACCCACTTTGCAGTGTGGCTCCTACTCATTTTCCTGTGGTAATGGAAGATGTGTGCCTCGATACTACCAGTGTGATGGTGTTGATGATTGCCATGATAACAGTGATGAGCAAAACTGTGGTTCTTTAAGTAAGTAATCCTTGTAATTTACAGTTAGTTTTTACTGTTTGCAGTTCAGAAAGTTCGATGGGTCAGTCTGATTTTGTTGGAATAAACCCCAAATTTTTTGGGTTGCATCTGTGGATGAATCTTGAAGTCTGCCTGGGGGATTAGTTACTTTGGAAATTATTTGGAGAACTCATAGGAGTACAGGATTCAACGCTGGCCACCTAAAGAAAGTACAAAAACATTCGTATCTCACTAGTTCTCAAAATTCAACTTACAAAGTAACAGAAATCTATCTTCTAAAAAAATTTGTCTTCTTAGTTTTTTTGTAATTTTTGAAAGATATTGGAATATCACTTGCTTGATATTTTAGAATTTGATGCATATCTAGACAGTCTCTAAGCATACTAAATGTACTGAATATTCTGGCAGTGAAGACAAGTTTTGGAGATTGTATAAAAGTGATCTTCTGTCTTGTTTTTTATTTAGACAATACTTGTGCTTCATCAGCTTTTACCTGTGCCAATGGACAGTGTATCCCAGGTCGCTGGCATTGCGATAAACATAATGACTGTTTTGATGGCAGTGATGAATCGCATTGTCCTACACAAGGACCCACTTCATGCCCTGCAACCCTGTTCACCTGTGACAATAACAGATGTATTCCTAGGATCTGGCTGTGTGATACGGATAATGACTGTGGTGATGGGTCAGATGAAAAAAACTGCAGTGAGTAGCACAACTGTCTGTTGTGTTTTAAACAGCTGTGTGTGTCTACACAGATATGTCTGTTGGTGTAAGGATGATAAATGAAATTACGAAGAAAGACCCAATATCTAATTTAGACTAATATTTTGCAGCCCATAAGATGTGGAAAACTTATTGAATTTGAACTACCAGAGCCAAGTAGAATGCAGAAAAATGATTTAAAAAAAAAAAAAGAGGGCAAAAAGTTGTAATCCTGGTGCTGCATAGTGTTGTCCACTGCAATTTACAGCAAAAAGCAGCTAAAGCTTTGGTGTTCTAAGCACTTACTTCATGAGTGATTTCAGTTATGACTAATGGTGTAGTCAGCTCACCTAGCCTGGAAGTTTTTACCAGAAGTGTCTGTAATTATTTTGCAGTGAAGTAAGATGGTGTTTTCTCCGTATACTTTACTTAGTGTTATTTACCACTGAGTGGAATCTTCTGTTTGTTTTGCATGAGTCCAAGCCTATGCCTGAATAAACCATTACCTGATACTAATGTATCAGTGCTTGTAATGTATGTGCTTACTGGTTGCTGCACTACATGCTGCAAGTTAGTGATAGTGTTTTTATGTTATGTCCGTTTTATGCTGATTTCAGAAGAGAGAAAGGAAATGCATCTGTGTTTATTGTCATTCTTAATAGCTTTCACAGGCACTTGTGAACCCAGGCAATTTCAGTGTCCGGACCATCGCTGTATAGACCCGTTCTATGTCTGCGATGGAGACAAAGACTGTATAGATGGTGCTGATGAGCGTGACTGCAGTAAGTGGATCTTCGTTTATTGAATGCCTCTTTATTGTTTCCTCACTCTTACCCTCTGAGGGGGCTTTGGTGACCTCATTTTACCAGCTCCAAGATAACAGAATGCATAATAAACCTATCCTTAGATTTACCCTGTTTGTGATGCTTGTTTTAGCATTTTAGAAAGCCCTTTGATATCTAGGTTGGTTGCAGAGGCTGAGATCTGTTTCCTTTGAGATTCCAAGGTCTCTGCATTTTCTGTGTCCCAGGGAAATCATGGTGTTCAGTGGAACTTGGACTCCTGATATCGTATCTGACTTGGGCACCTGTAGAGAAATTGGATGCAGTCTCGCTCTGTAAAAGAAATAACACTAATATTTATTTGTTTTGTAGTATATAACTGCAGTGCCACAGAGTTTAAATGTCTAAGTGGAGACCAGTGTATCAGCTCTTACTACCAGTGTGATGGTGTTTTTGACTGTAATGATCACTCAGATGAGACTGATTGCCGTAAGTATATTAATGCTGAAAGAAAGGCTTCACTTATTAGGTCATGCTTCCGAAAACTTCCTTTATCTGCTATATCAAATAATTGGCACTACTGTCCTTAAAACTTTAAAATTCTTTTTAGTGAAACTTGTCTCATTTTTTTTTCTGAACAGAAATCTCAAACACAGTAGGTTCTAGCTCAGGAGCAGATTTTTAGTAGAGTTTAGTATTCTTTTAGTAGAGTTTGTATTCTTTTTGGCACCAACTTTTTGTGTTATTTGGCGTCTCAGTCTCAGGGTTTAAAGGAAAATTAAGAAGTGTGTTCATCTCGAAAACTGAAAACTTGTATATGTGAGAGTTAGGTTGAAACTTTTCCTTGAGTAATTTTTTAGATTTAAGTTCGTTAGAATGTTGCAATGCAGGCTGGTGAGAACTTGTTTCAGCAAGTAATTTCATATTGCTTTGGTCATGTGCACAGAGATCAATATACATAAATATCAACATGTGCTTGCTCAAAAGATAACAATAGTGGAATTGCCTTGTTCACCATATTACAAAGCAGGAGTTAAATTGGTCAGATTCTGAAATGTCATGTAGGTTGACTGACTGTGATTCTATGCCCTGATCTAAAAGCAACACAGTTCTTAACAGTATTATGACTACTTTACAGGAGATGAAATGGACGTAGTGATTTTGCTTCTCTGTTTAAAATGGAAACAGCATCTAAAATGTTGAATGTCACTGTTTTAGCTACAAGACCACCAGGGATGTGCCACCAGAATGAATTCCAATGTCAGTCAGATGGCAATTGTGTTCCTGCTAACTGGGAATGTGATGGGCATCTTGACTGTGCAGATGGCTCAGATGAACATCATAGATGTCCTGCCAGGACCTGTCCTCCGTCTCTTTTCCGCTGTGATAACGGCAACTGTGTCTATCGAGCATGGATCTGTGATGGTGATAATGACTGCAGGGATATGAGTGATGAGAGAGATTGTCCTACTCAGCCTTTCCGGTGCCCCAGCTGGCAGTGGCAATGTCCAGGTCACAGTATCTGTGTGAATCTGAGCAAAGTATGTGATAATTCTGCTGATTGTCCCAATGGAGCTGATGAATCCCCACTGTGCAGTAAGTTACTGTTCAGACATCTACTATAGCCTACTATGTGCTATGGCTTCAGAAAGAAATGGAATGTCCAGCATACTGTGTTTAGTGCAGCAGCACTTCTAACAGAAATTGTGAGCATGCTGAAATTAGAGCTCAAATTACTGAGTGGAACTTGCTTGCAGTGGAAGGAGACTCAAATGGTGACTGATGAATTCATTATGTATCTCCAATCCTGTGCTCTGAGTTCAAATGTGACTTCCACTGACTTCAGTATAGGTTTTTATGTAGCAATATGGAATGAGCTTTGTGTTCCTGAGCATATTCACTGAAGCACGGTATGCTTTGAGTTCAGATGAAATGTGATTCAGTCCTTAATATTTTCCTTTAAATTTCTAACTTCAAAAATCATGGAAAAAATCTGAAAACTCATGTGTAGCCAGAATTTGTATTTATGTTGATTATTAATTGATTTAAGCTTAACCTTTTTCTTTCTTTCCTTTCTTCCTTCCTCCTCCTCCTCTTTAATCAATGCACATTCTCAGATGAACCCCAGCCAGGTATGATTATAAATTATTTTAAATTATGGTTTATTAATACAGTTTTAGGTTTGGAGTAGTACAGTAATTTTTTTATATTTCTAGCTAGTTTTAGAAAACTTTTTCATAAATTCTTAGACAATGAGAATGCTGTTTAGCATTCATCTAACGGGATTCAGTAGAACACACCACATTGTTATCTGCCTTTACATGCAGTGTGAGTGTTATATTTTGCAAAAGGGCCTCAGTGCAGTCTCACAACGCATAACTGATGGTTGTGCAGTCATATTCTAGCAGCAATCTTAGGCTAGTATTGCAATTGCAAAGTGTTAAATTTAGCATGAGCAGCTTTTCTTTAACTATTTCCTTATTTCCTTCCTGAACCCCATTTTAGACCAGGAGAGCTGCTCTGACAATAATGCCGGCTGCACTCATGAGTGTATTCAAGGACCCTTTGGAGCTCAGTGTACTTGTCCTGTTGGATACCAGCTTGCAAATGACTCCAAGACCTGTGAAGATATTAATGAATGTGACCCTCCAGGCTTTTGTAGTCAGCATTGTTACAATGAGAGGGGGTCTTTTCGGTGTTACTGTGATGACGGATACATTCTAGAAACCAATGGGAAGACTTGTAAAGCAGCAGGTGAGGAACATTTCTGTCAACCTAAAGAACGACAACAGTGTCTGGAAAATGTCCAGCTTTGCCATTTTAATATTGTTCTCTTTTAAAAGAGCTGATGTAAACGGCCACTTAGAGCTGTTCATGTCAGATGATTTTAAGTATTAAAACTGTCAGCTTAATTGGAAACTATTATTTGATTAAAACAGTATATTTAAATTAACACTGTAATTTTTAACCCTGGAATAGGCAAAAAATAATATTCTGGAGAAAAGCAGTGCTAGGCATCTGTAAGCCATAGGTTAAAATGTGTTCTTTATAAGGCTCAGTGCTCACAGAGTGTTTAAATCCCAGCCTTTCGGAAGACTTACCTGTGCTGTATTTTCCTCATTTCTGAAGAACAAACGACACTGTCACAGCCTAGCTGTCTGTTGGTCTGTGTCTCTTATGTAGTACACTGACAGCACAGAGGAGCTGTGTACCCAGTGGCGTTTGTCTCTACAGATTTCCTGGTTCAGGAATATACTCAGGTTGTGGAAGACTCTCGCAATTTACCTGCAAATACGTCTGGCCCTTACTAATAGGAAGTTGATCATAGTTTGCTGTCTTTATGGTTGCTACTCTTCAGTGCTTTTTCAGCAGTTTATCAGTGTAGGCTGCTGCGTAGCAATCTAACCACAACAACCTATGGCTTTCCTGTAAGCTCTTTGTTCTTCCTGCTGCCCATGCAGTCTAAAAGGGGGAAAAAAGAAAAGAGCAGAGTGGCTAAAAAGAAGGAAGAACCAAGCTGTGTAGAGTATTGGAGGTGCACAAGAACTTTGGGGAACGAATCAGGGCTGGGAGCTAAGAGTGATTTATGGAGGAATGAGGGCTGGGTGTCAGCAGCACACTGGCTGGACAGTGGGGAAGAGGACCCAAGATCCAGATATGAGACTGGAAGAAGAGTCTAGTAGAAAGAATAAATGATGGAGAAAATGATTTTATCATATCCAAGCTGGATATGTTAAAATATCCTGTCCTGAGAGTTTATTTGAATTTGTCCTTTTGATATATATATGTAGATACAATAGCTTTGATGCTATAAAGCCTTGTCAAAATACTCAGTGTTTCTTTTCCTTACAGAGTGACTGCTGAATAGTTTATTGGTTTATTTTAATTTCTTTTCCTTTGACAGAGTCTGGGAATCTTCTTTTGCTGGTGGCAAGTCGTAACCAGATTGTTGTGGACAACATCACCTCTCAGTCACACAGTATTTATTCTCTTATTCGGAATGGGAGAAATATTGTGGCTATTGATTTTGATTCAGTCACAGATCGTATCTTTTGGTCTGATACAGCGCAGGATAAAATCTGGAGTGCTTATCAAAATGGGACTGACCGAAGAATAGTAAGTTTTGCTGAGTTATTCTTGTTTCTTCGTTGCAGAGAGAAAATTAGGACACTGTATTTCCAGTTAAAAGAGGAGAAGAGGGAAATCTCAGCATAGTGAGAGGAGAGACAACATAGACAAAGTGAAATAACTTTGCAGATACTAAGCCAACATTTCATATAGCTTTTTGAAAAAGAAAACTGAGTGCTTGCAAGAAGCCCTTTTTAACATCAGGCCATAAGTTGATTTTCCTATTAGTAAATGCTAACTTCTCCAATAGGCCCACTGAAGTTGTAGGATTGGTTGGGTATACGCTTTGTTGGTGCTTTGAATGTGTACATTGTGACTCATCTGCGTAAGAGACCTGAAAATGTTTGAGATTTGGTTTCCCATTTTCCATAACTCTAGAAATGGAAAGGGTAAAAATTTAATATCAACTTGTTTGTTCTGTCTTTCTCTCCTCTTTCTTTTAATTTTTGTTACTAAACAGGTGTTTGACAGTGGTGTCACCGTGACTGAAAGTATAGCGGTAGATTGGGTAGGTCGCAATCTTTACTGGACAGACTTTGTTCTGGAAACAATTGAAGTCTCTAAAATGGATGGGAGCCACAGGACTGTGCTGATTAGTGAAAATATAACAAACCCAAGGGGACTAGTGTTAGATCCCAGAATTGAGTAAGATTTTTTTAATGTTTTGTTTTGAAATGATTTTATGATGTAACAATATTCAAATTTGAGATATGCCCAAATCGTATTGTGATTGTAAATGACAATTGGAAGAGAAAAGACAATTTTTAAAAATACTGTGTTTGCAGAGTTAATTTAACACTTAAAGTCATGTGGTAATTATTTGTAATCTGCTGCTCTGTTTCACTGTAACAGGATGTATTTTCCCTGTAAAACAGATTTTCCTGTATTTGCTTCCTAGTTAAGAACTATTAACTCAGAATTCTGGTGCATCATTATCGGTTGGTGGTATACCACAAACCTACATGTAATACAATGTGGTATGCCCACCTGGTAAGGTGCAGGTTCCTGCATAGCTGCAAATCTAAAATAATTAGCTTTACCATATTAATGTTATCACAAAATCACCTTCCCATTTCAGACGCCAAGTGGCATAGAGTAAATGGAAAGTTATGATTTGAACTGTTCATGTACAAACTCTATTTTTTGAGCTCTTCAGTGCCTTGAACTCTGTTTACTGCCAGCCGTGTGGGGCTCTTCAGTTATAGCCCTGTTAGCATTATCAGTGCATACCTGTAAAAGTACAAATACATATCAAGTGATTATTTGGCAACTGGAGCATCAGCGTTGTAAAACAGTGATGACAGTAGCTTCTGTATGCTGCTACTACCGACAAATGAAAACAGCAGTAGAAGTATTGAAAGAATTTTTACAACAGCAATTATGGTAGTATCTTAAGTAAGCACGTTGCCGAAATGAATAATTTCGGTATCGTTGTGTAGGACTTTTCTTAACAAGGTTGTTTATATATTTTGGCTAAGACTTTGTGTAACATTTCTCAGTAGGCAGCTAGGTTTTTTCAGACTGGTAACCACAGTTCATTTTTTTCAGTGCTCATGTAATGTTCTGGACTGACTGGGGCCAAAACGCTCGAATTGAAAAAGCCAGCATGGATGGCAAAATGCGAACAGTGATTGTTGACAACAAAATCTACTGGCCCAATGGACTCTCCATTGATTACCCAAATAAACTGCTCTATTTTGCCGATGCTTATCTCGATTATATTGATTTTTGTGATTACAATGGAAACCACAGGCGACAGGTGGTTGCAAGCGATTTGGTAAGATTAATAAGAAACCATTGTTTTCCCCTGTCCTTGCTGATAGTACTTAAAAATGTATTTGCACTGTCGTGGACTTGAATATATATTTCTTCGAAATACTTGGGTGAAGCAGATACGAAGTATTTTAGCTGCTTACTACAGCTGGACGAAGAAGAATGGCATATTCTATTCACTGCCTCTCAGGAAATCTCCAGCAGAACCTGGAGCTGAGTGTAGATTTAGCGCTTTAGACAATTCTCATTTTTTCTGGCTGTATGCATGAAGTCTAAACATGACAGCTGACTGCTACTGCTAGCTGGTGCATTTGCTGTAGGCAAATACAGTACAAAACTCTCCCCAGTCACCTTCTGGGAGTGATGATTGTTGCTACTCTTGACAGCAGAGAAGGTTTTTGTGCTGCCGGGACTTGCTGCGTGCAGAGCACTTTGTGAAAACTGTCCTCTTCAGGCTATCTCGTGATGAAGTGCTGCTGGCAGCTTCTAGCGCCGTCCCTGTACCAGCACAGGAGTTCAGGTGTTCAGTTGGTACACATAAGCTGGTACACATACCCACGTGTATGTTTTCAAGAATTGAACCTTGGGGCTTTTATTTTTGTCTAGAGAGACAGTTCTTGTTAAATAGGAACTAGTGCAGTCTTTCTTGCCCCAGTCCTAGTTTTCTGTGATTTAGATAAGCCACGTTCTTCAACCCTCTGGTAAACTGTAGGGGAGCTTATCAGAGATGCAAGGTCTTGACAGGTCCATGACTCTCACTAGACATTTCCTCCAGTGCCCATGAAAAGCTACAATTAAGTCTTTATCTGTTGTTTCCCTGTGTTTCACCGTACAGTTAAGACTGCTTTGTTAATTCCTCATGCTGTACATCTCACAGGGTTTAGTTAGCATTTTCATTTTTAAAAAGTATATGTCCTCCATAATAATGTCTTGTTTTCAGGCAATAGATGATGTTTAATTTTCTTTTGCTGAAATATATCTTTTGAGACACAGCTCCTTCTTTCTTATTTTTTAAATTATGCTCAGCTCTACTGTTGCTTCCTTGCTAGCTTTACATATACAGATCTCCAGAACTAAACTGGCAAACTTCCTTGCCTTTCAGATACTGCAGCATCCCCATGCTTTAGCTGTCTTTGAAGATTTTGTGTACTGGAGTGATCGCTACACTAATCGAGTAATTCGGGCCAATAAATGGCATGGAGGAAACCAGACAGTTATGATTTATAACATTCACCAGCCTTTGGGCCTTGTGGCAGTCCACTCTGTAAAGCAACCTCATGGTAAGTTCGGCAAAACAGCTTTGGTAATTACAAAAAGAAGCCATGCAGTAATGCCATGCATAGGCCCTCCTGCAATCAGTCTTGTCAGCAAATGGCCTGGGTTAAAACAAGCAAATAATTCATGCTATTGACTTGCAGTTTAAAGTCATTTTAGCCTATCCAACCTCATAAACCAACCTGTCCAGCCTGCTGTTAAGGGATAGTAACCTAGGCAGCGTTGTAAGCTTAATGACTAGCACAACAGAACACTATAGAAGTAGTATGTGCCATTTTCTTGCACTTCATTTTGCATGTTTTTATAAGAAAACTTGAGCATTTTTGGAAAGGATTTTAATTTTACAATTTGTTTCTGTGACATACCAGATTCACTTCCTCGTATGTTAATAATATGCTTTTAGACAAGATTACTGTCATCATCCTTCTCTGAAAGCACTTTTGTATTGTTTTACTTAATGAAATAAAAACTAACCCCCCTCACTGCGTTCAGTATTCCCTCTGAGATCCTATGGAAGGGATCTTTTGCAGCTGAGAGTGTAAATTTTATTTTTTCCTTTTCTTTCTGTTAGGTAGAGTTGTCTTCCAAATCAGGCTTTCCGTTGTTTCATGTCATGACTTGAAGAGTGGGAAATATATTGACACAAATATTGGCTCTCATTGTTTCTGCTGTACTTCTTGTGTATGGAGTGTTTTTGCTTAATAAATATTACAATTACTTTTTTTTTTCCTTTCATACAAGGGAGAGTGGAGGCTTGCATCTAAGTAGGGTGCTAGTAATTTCAGGGGTATACTTGTTTTGTATTGCTTGTGGTTCTTGGAAATAAAGAACTTAAATTTTCAATTTTAAGCAGATAACAAAACTGATTTAATGCTGGATTGATACTATCAGTAACAATGACATTGAATATTCTTTCCAGTTTCTCACATTGTTACAGTTGCTAATACTTCCTTTTGTTCTTTCCAGCTATCAATTCTTGTGCGTCATCCCCTTGTAGCCACCTCTGCTTGCTTTCTTCGTCTGGACCACTATTTTTTTCCTGTGCTTGTCCTTCAGGATGGATGCTTTCTCCTGATAACAGGAACTGCATGAGAGGTAGGGCAGTAATAATGAGAGATGAACAAAAAAGACCTGACACTGTCAAATCCATCCCTCTGCCAGGCAAAAAGCATACTTCAGATCTGTTGGGGGCTGCTCATGAAATCAAGCTGGGGGGCTGTTCCAGGCAGACTTCATTTAAGAAGCACAGAATGTACCTGGCCTAAAGGTTTGAGGCCAGGTTATGGAAAGAACTCGTTTAGCCATTCAGGTGCTTCTTTTGGGGAAAATGAATGAACTCAATTTTCTCTTAGGCACTTTAAAGAAGCCGCTTTGTAAAATTTGTCAACACATTGAATGTTTTGCTGTTGGAATACATCTGGATGGAGCTTAGTTTCAGTTAAAAAGGAAAATATGTTCTGGCAGAATATTGTCCTTCTCATTGTAGATATTTGGCCTGGAAACCTGTTTTTAAGAACTGTAATTGTAAGAATGTAGGGATGCGGGACTAGAAGGGACTTTCTGGGTCGTTTGAGACTGTTTCCCTCTTGTCTTTGACCGCTATCTCATACCTCCCCTTTTACTGGTCGAGCTCCAGTTTAAGATTGATTTGGTTTCTTGCCCCTAAAACTCACTGAACTTCACAATTTTGATATTTGGAAACCCTCTGATTTTCTGTTCAAATATAGTCTGTCCCCAGTATATGCCCATATATTATGCCAGAAGTCAGTCACAATCTTTTGGTTTCCTCTGATCAGAAGAGATGCTCTCCCTGTTCCTCATCACTCTCTTCAGCCTGTCTGAACTAATGCATTTTGGAATTTAGATAAGAATTTCACAGCTTGAACTTTCTCCCTCACCAGTGTAGAAAAAAATGGTATGCCAAATGTAGGTGGTTTGGATACACAGCCTAAAGTTACAGATGCTACAGACGATGCAGCTCCAACAGAGCTAACCTTTGCAAACAAACATTCATATCAAAAAGTACCACTGAACTTTCTTTAAACAGTCCACAGACCTCAATGATTTGTAAAAGTCGTTTGGCCAATTAACTTAATAAAAGAAAGTCACAAAAATTCAAATTACCGGCAGGCAGGCTGTGACCAGAAATTTGACTGATGAATTTTGTCACATGAAGCATTCATTATTAATTTTTCCCTCAGTTGTATTGATATAAAGTGTGTTTTGGTGCCTCCCTAATAGCAGAGCTTCAAACCACTGAAATGTCAGTAGAAATTTTCTTTGCCATGAACTAACACTAAAAATCTGTGTCAGTCAAAAGATCCTTTTCTTTTAAGTCTAAATTTTAAAAGCTATATCACACTCTTCCTGTGTGATGCTTAGCAGTGTGTTCTTTAAAGAGCTGTACTGCATTCACGTTTTCCTTAGCAGCAGTAAGAGAATTACTAATTTATATATTTAACATAAATGTTATATAGATTATAATTTGTCATGTAAACCTTTTAACCTCATTAACTTTAAGAATTGCAGAAGTTATATTAATGTCTATCTGATTTTAGATCTGCATAGCTCAGCGAATTTGTTCTGTTGCCCTTGATATGAAGAGCAATCAGACTGTATGGATTTGCATAGGTGTTGAACTTAAAGGAAGCAATCACAGAATTTTTTTGGTAGAAGTTAATTGTTTTAAATGAGACTATCAGACTTCTAAAGTACAAACAGTCTAGCCTAGACGGTTCACAAGTCTGTGTCAGCAGGATTCAGTAGCGTTGTGCTGTATACAATTAGAAAGGGAATAACGATTCCAGTTCATGTCTGCATTGGAACAAGTTCACACGAGTTTATCTGTTCCTTGTAGATGTCTTATGGAAGAGCTCTGGCATGCCACGTTCTTAGGGGAGTAAAAAAAATGGAAGTCATCCAAGAATTTGACAGTTGGAGCTAGCTATATGTCTTCAGTCAGTTATTTGCCAAAATGTGGTTTTGTGCTGAGGTAAACGGTATTTAAGCTTATGTCAAATTTGACAAATAGTTCAAGCTGCGACAGAAGTATGGAGAGTGATGTTTGACACGTAATGGTACTGTGATTTGTGGCTTTTCGTGTCAAAATTTTCACTGCAAAATTTATGTAAATGTGTTGGGCAGTCAGTGAATAAAATAAAAACAAAACCCAAGAAAACAAAAAGTCTTGGATGTATTACAAAAGCTGAAATGGGTTACTGCTCTCTTCCATGCAGCAGCAGCAGCCCAGTTCTCTATCAAGTGGTAGCTTGTGCCTATGGAGAGAAGAGGCTGGAATTCGTTCTCCTAGGGTGAAAGCACAAGGAAGAGGGGTATTGGTGATGAGGAAATTCTCTTCCCCTACTCCCTAGCAGATGAGAAGGGAAGTTGCTGACTCACACTCTACAGTTCTCCAGTGCATTTTCTCAGATCACCTGACTAAATGGCTTTTGTTAATAAACTTTAAGCATAAACAAGTTTACTGAAAAGTAAATATACTATAAGGGAGTGTGTCTGCTCCCTTAAAGATAAAACAAGAAAACATGGTACTGCAGTTATATTTAATTACAGTAAAGACCTTGCTTGTGAGTCCTTCATAATGAACCCATCTCAGGCATGTCCTGGGGAGTCCTCAGAGCTTTGTCCCGCTGGTTCCCATTCTCAGATTTGAAAAAGCTGCTCAGAGCAGCTGTGTGAGTTTGCATCTTCCCTTGGCCAGCAGTGAGCGATCCTGCCTCGTTTACTTCCTTCTGCTTAGAATTTGCTTGCATGTGCGTTGTGATTGCACAGTGCTGCAACTTTAAATATCACAAGAATTACAGTAACTGCTAACCTCACTGCTAGTGAGGGAACAAACTTACAGGTGAGTGGTTGCAAAACGTTTCTGGTAACATTCAGCCATTCTCAGCATCAGGGAACTTCTGGGTGGTGGAGGGGGAGCACATCATAATGGCATTTTCTTGATCAGACACAACTCTGAATTACATTGTATGTTTTCACAGTTGAACACCCTTTCCTTATTGCTGTAAGAGATAATATAATTTATGGGATTTCTCTGAACCCTGAAGAGAAGACAAATGATGCTATGGTTCCAATAGCAGGAGTTCAAAATGGTGTTGATGTTGACTTTGATGACTCCGAACAGATGATTTATTGGGTTGAAAATCCAGTAAGTTAGTATTTGTTTTCAAAATGTGCATTAAAGTAAGACTTCTTATTTTAAAGTACTGTTTTTGAGTGAAATATATTGGCATTGTGGGTAAGAATTTTGATAAGTATAACTGAAATAATGAAAGGGGGTTTGGGGATTTTTTTGTTTTCGGGTGAGGGTTTGGTGGGATTTTTTCCCTACTAGGGTAAGATAAAGAAGCTTAATCTCCTTTGTAAATTAATTTTCATCTTTGTCAGCTGAAATACTTGATAAATGCTATTTCTGGCTCAGCCAGCGACATGAACAGGAAATACCGGAAAGCACTGACAGAACCATACTCTCAGCCCCCCTTTCGTGCAGTCCCCTTTCTCCTCTCTCTTGACTTAGGACTTAATTCTGCAGACACAGCCAGAACGCTTCTCCATAGGACCGGTACATTGGACACCATGGCACTAAACATTACAATGAAAATTATTCATTAGAAATAAATAAATTTTAGAAATAGAATTAAATTTTCATTAGAATGAAAATTCATGCATCTGATCTGAGTGCTTAATGAAGTAGTGCAGTAGAGAGGCATCTTTCTCTTTAGATAGAAGAAAATGGTTGCAGTCACAACAATTTCCAGATAGCACATATAAGGCTTATAGATCTAAAAACCCAGTTGGAACAATTTTTATGTTTGACTAAGCATTTTTAATACCTGTCCTGAACTAAGAAACTCTGTGTGTTCCTAAGGCTGACTTGCCACAGTAAATTCCCAGTTTTTGCAGGGTGGACTCTTAAAAGAGAAATCTGTGGAAGTCTGGGAGATGGATGTGGTAGGAAACTGCTGATTTGGCAATATGTGTTCACTCTTGGAAACTTAAAAGCAGTCTTTTTTCAAGAACAGAAGTGCTTAGGTCCCGGAGGAATATAACGGTAGATAAGAAGATTGCCACAGTTATGTTTTACAGAAACAACTCATGCTAAGTTGTTCACTTTCATCCACACAAGATTTACCTTTTTTCCCCTACCTGTTATCATTATGGTTTGTAGGTTTGAAGTAAAACTAAGTTTAAAAATCACTCATTTTAAAGCCTTTTCTGTGTCACTCATAACAGAATTAGAATTTATTTAATTATTTATCATTTTAAAGTTCAAATGCTTAGTTCCCACAGAGTGTTTAAATAGATCTGTTTAACCAAACCTTTACCCAAGAAGCTAGATAAATACTCAGGAATCTATTTGATCCTCCGTGCAGTCTGAAAACAATGTTCATGACAGATACAGCTGACATTTACAAGAGGTTGAGCAGTCGTGTAGGAGGTCATGAGCTGATATATCCACTAACAGAGCTGGCAAGTGAAATGCCAGGTGCCTCTGCAGACTGAGTGTGGGTAAGTGCTGTATTTTAGTTAGGTCTGGATCTTCAGCCTGACAAATCCGTGACCGTGAGCTGTGTCCCCATGTGTACCCCTGACCTGCAGGACTCAGGGTGCTGTTGCTCCCAGACAAAGCTGAGACACCTGTGTCAGTCATGGCTCACTCTGAAAACAGATGTTTTTCTAGTTTCTAATGACAGAAGCAAGTTTGCCTACTTTCTTAATTGTGGTGGTTGTCTACTACCACAAGGCCTCTTCCTTAACACCGTGTTTTGCCTCCATCCATTGCATGTTTGAGTTTTCCTGAGGTTTGTCTGCACTTGCATAGTTTGTAGCTGTAATTTCACTGCCAGTGTTAGCAGGAGTTGAAGCTTTAGTTAGAGTTCAGGTGAACATCCATCAACTTGAACGCTCTGTTTGAAGCAAACTCAGGAAACAGATAAATATCAGAGTCCTTCCCATTCTACTTGAAAAACACTTCCCAAGTATTTTTATCTTCAGCTGTCATGTTCCATAGATTATTAATTGTAAATGTCAATAATAGGCAGGAGAATTCCTGTCTTTAAAGTGGCTATCATACTAGACACTGTTGTAAATATTGAACGTCCATCATGCTTTCAAAATAGGGTTTATACCATACCAAAAGTTATTCTACTTTTCTACCTTTTTCTGTAGATCTAGGGATTCAAGGACAGGTTAATTTGCAAATAGCACTGCATTGAATTACATTAGGGTTCAGCAAGCAGCACTCTACCAATATCTAAGAAATTCTACCTATTTAATCCAGCAGTGAATTTCTTTTTCAGGTTTTTGCCATCTGATATCTTGATTCCTTTCTGAAGCACCATTTTTAATTCTTCCCTGAGATATTTAGACAGTGTACTGATACCATGGTAACAAAGCAATTAAGAAAATGCATGGACCAAATGCTCACTGGGTGCTTTTCCTAAAGCTGATTCTACCTTGTTTCTGCTCTGAGATGGCAACTGCAACCTGCTTTCCATTTTTTTACGGCCTAGGCCTACTCTATCTCTGCCTTTATCTCCTCCCTTCCTGAACTGGGCTAGTGGTATCTGCACAGCTTCTGTCTTCAAGTGATGCAGAGTTCAGCCTCTAACGGTGCACTGTGTGTTCTGTCCCTTCGAGCCGACTGTGCCTTTCTGTCTTTCCAGCAAAGAGTCAGAGCAGAGCAGACGCACTGCATGTGTTGCCTCAGTGAAGAACTGGGGTGGTGGGTCCCAGTGCTACCTTGTCCGGGAGCCTGTACCACAGAGTGAGATCTTCCTAGGACAGGTGCAGAATTTCTGCATCAGTGGAAGAGGAAGTAGTTAGTGAGGAGAGAAACAGATTGCGACTGTTGCTCATAGCTCCCCTAATCTTACTGACCTCTTCTCCAAGAGGTTTAATAATGAGCGATAGCTGCCGGTATTTCAGTTCTGCATTAACACTAGTGAAAGATTCACATGATAATAGGGAGGACTTCTGCAGAACTACTGTAAAATTGGCATGACCTGAAGAAAGCTCAGGAAAGCAGCTACAGTGACCACTTCAGACCTTTATCTGCCTTTTCTCTCTCTAGTGCTTGCTTACATCATGCTTTAGCATCACATGCTGTAGTTAATACCATAGAATCTGCAAGGTGTAACTTGTCATTTCAAGGGTTACCCTAATGAAGAAAGCTGCACAGATAATCTTAGTCTTGGTTCTTAATATTACAGCTTATTAAAAATACGGTTCTCAAATATTTATGCATGGAGAGTGCACTATTTTCTTTTACTAGATTTCAGGTCTATTCACGGTGGTCAGCTGCGAGGTACCCTTGTAAAAAATCTTTTGGTAATGAAATACAAATTATGTAGGTGTGACGTGCATAGCTTAAATATATACAGTTCAGCCTTATCAAAGATAGTGATTTTATTTCTGTTGAGCAGGTTTTGGTTGGTGAGTGATAATGTCTCTTTACACTGGATAATTATGATTTACAATAATATTTTTACCATGTTTATGCATTAAGCGTATACCAATACGTTTCTCTCTACTGGATTTCCATTTTGCTAAGCAAAAGTTGTAATTCAACATAGGTGCTCATGTAGTTGGAACGGTGTGGTGCTTTCTGTTCGTGACATTTTCTCACATTTGTTATCTTTTTTTTTACAAGGGTGAAATTCACAGGGTGAGGTCAGATGGAGCCAACAGGACAGTTTTTGCTCCAGCAGCTGTTATTGGTGCTCCTTTTGGTCTGGCATTGGACTGGATATCTGCAAACTTGTATTACAGTAACCCAGGGACACAGTCAATTGAGGTAATTATTTAAGAAGGACAACGGGATAGTAAGAGCCTAGATTTTTCACTGCTATGTGTACAGGTTGAAATTACTAATGTATTTTTTAGTGAAAAACTGACGTTAGATTTATTTCGAGATGCAAACAGTCTGTAGAAAGGTACTGTACACTCTTGAAGAGATAATCCTAAATTTGAGCATAGTCAAAAAGACTGGAAGTAGTATATTCTGGGTGCTTTATTTGTGCATAGATTTTTATTTTTTCCTCCCTCCGCCCTCTTCAAGTCATTAGGCTTCTGGTGTTTGGCACACAACCTCTTTGATTACTAGACTTACTGTTATTATTACTGTTCTCACTTCAGATCAGTGATCTCAATGCAGTGCCTCTGATAGTAAAGGAATGCTGCCATCAAATGCAGTAAGATCCACTCCCAAATGCTTTAATATCACATTGTGTAGGTTTCTGGAGTCTACCAGTCTGATGGTATGTGAAGGATAAAATTGTCATTTAGTGTAG